GAACGGTCTAGGGTGTGAAAGAAGACCATAGTGAATGGTGTGGGGTGTGAAAGAAGACTATAGTGAATGGTGTGGGGCAGGCAGGAGACCATGGTGAATTGTCTGGGGTGTGCAGGAGACCATGGTGAATGAACCGTCTGTGGTGAGAGCTGAGCAGAGCACCAGGAACAAGCAAGTTAAGTGTAGTTTCCCTGGTAGGATGCACCATCTCATCATGACCAATGTCTTCTGGGTCAGGGATGGCTTGATCTGAATCCACAGCTGGGGGAAAAGTGAGTTGGGGCTGCTCATAACTGTTATGGCTCACCTTGTGTAGAACCGGTTTATCCTGAGAGCCTCTTCTTTGTGTGGTGCTCTTTTAGGGGCTTTTTTGGCACAAAACATTTCCTCAGATGAGATTGAAAAGAGAAAGTCTGGCAGCCAAGACCGATTACACCTATAGAGTCTTCCCACTTGGGCAGAGGGCCTCAAAGCAACTCCATCAGATAAAAAAAGCACTGGCCTGGCCAAACACCTACCTAAATTCTGGCAGAAAATAAATACAGTCAGCTTTAAGAGCTGGGCACGGCACCTCGGGGAGCAGCTGGGCTCTCTCATTCCAATTCAGCACTAAATTCAGAGCGTCCCTGCTGCCAGCCAAGTGTTCTGTGGCTGGGGAAGGAGGTGACAACAGGCAGGCCGGGCTGTGGTGGGGGGAAAAGGTGGCACGTTGGGGCTGGGATCTCCTGCTGCAGCCAGGAATTCTCTGATGTAAAGCCCTGACTGCACTGGATTAGTTTTGCTGTGTGTTGGCAGCGTTTCATGGGAGCATCCAATTGTTTCATCACTTTGTACCACCCACGCTCCACCCGCGCCGTCCAGAGCCAGCCCCGAGTGTTAGTCCTCCAGAAAGGGCCATGTGTAGCTTCACAAAAATAGCAAACAAATCATAGCAATAAAAAGCGTAAGAAAAAAAAATCAGGTAAACCTGAAGCCAAATATTGTTCAATACCAACTGTTTGATTCACTGCAGAAAGAAAAATAGTCTGGGGAAAAAAAAAAACATTAACTTTGCATCATTGGTAAAAATGCCAGAGGCTGTCACAAGATTAAAAAAACAAAGAGTTATCAGTCATTAAGAACAGCTTTCTCTCCTCATGTTGATATCAAATGTTAAAAGAGTGAATATTAACATAAAGAGATTTTTAAGCACAGAACATGACAAGAAGATGCTATATCCATATCAGTAGGAGCAACGAACTGCACCAATCATGTAAATAAAAGAACATGTGAAATGGGATTTAGATTTGAATGGGAGAAACCTATTGACCAGGTGTCAGAAGGGCTCAGGGTCAGATCACGTGCAGGACTGAGTTTTGGCAGCATTTGTTGTGAAAACGTCCCCATGGAAGGGTGTGGGACCATAACACCCCTATTGCAGGCAGGGGCTCCCTTTGGAATGGAAGCTCCTCCATATATTTACCTTCCCTGCTGGACACCTCAGCCCTCCTCTCCTTTTAAAAAAGCAAATGCTTTAATTGAGTATAAAAATCTGCTTTCTAAATGAGATACTAAGAACAGCCTAAAGTAGAGGGTGTGAATTCTCTCCTTCCCACCTTAAAGAAATCGCTCCCAGAAATATTCAGTGGCTTTAAACACACAGTGTCGTCCCAGGTGAAAAGGTGGCTTTGGGGCAGTGAGATTCCCAGGCAGAAGCTAAAAACTCCAGTCACCTCCCTCCTTGCTACACACATCTGGAAATCCAAGGGCACCTCAGATCCGTTCGTATCCCCTGTGCGGCTTCCTCCGGGAAATGAGGAAGGTGACAAACACAATGACAAAGAGTCCCAGGATGCTCAGGCCCACCGCGATGGGAGCTGCTCTGCTGTTCCTGTCAGGAAAACATTCTTCTTCTGGAAGTCAAAGGAGATCAGAGAACGTGTCACAGCAGAACACTGTGCTCCTAGGCTATACACCTACATTCCAGAAAACTTAGCAAATATAAGCCACAAGTTCTCAAAACCTTGTTTTCTCTTTTTTTTTCCCCTTTCTTTTTCCTGAGCTGTACTTAAGACATTTTTATCTGTGGTGACAAAACACTACTTGCCCCTTTTGAAATAGCTACGTGCTTCACTGGGGAATGACTCTGCCCTTTCACATCTGCAGTAATTGTTTTACCATCAAGATCAGTACATGCACAGCAGGAGTTTCTCCTGCCGAAAGCAGGTGTGGAGCATCACACCACAAAGCACAGGTCTAAAAATAAAGAGCAAGACACATCAGACCTTCCATCTGATCTATAGGAATGGTCCCTCCTTGGGCTCCAGGCAGAGACAGATCTCTAGCACGATGCTTGGAGTGGCACTTGAGCAGCAGCCTGTCCCCAAGGTGGAGTACCATGACCTAAACCCCATGGTCTGTCCCAGCTTAGAACCCAGTTTAGGGTACAAAGGGGATCCAACACCCTCCACCCCTTTCATTCCCTCTGATGATTCCAGAGCAGACATTTTTACAGCTTCCCAGACTCAAACAGGCCAAGCTATGGCTGTAACGCTGCTGCAGACTGTACAAAATTGTAAGGAACCTGAAACCAATGATCATTAACGTTTTCTTTTTCTTCCCTTTTTAAAGGTAAGTAAATCAGGAGCAACAGAAGTGAAACTACCAGTCTCGAGACACCCAAGAGGAGGCTGGTGATGTGTGGAGAGTCATTCCTTCATGGGGGATTTTCCCTTTCAAAATCTGCATACACAGCAGAGGTACGCACCAGTTTCATAACTCTTTCATGGCCACTGGGGAAATAGTTCAGTGGTGCTAGCTGCTTCCTCAGCCCACTGATTAAGAGCAAAACTAGTTTATTTTTGCATACGGTATTGACTAGCAGAGATTAGCCTGACTTTGGAGAGAGAGACAGAGAATCTTTCTAAGCTCTGTCTTTCATCACTTTGTACCACCCACGCTCCACCCGCGCCGTCCAGAGCCAGCCCCGAGTGTTAGTCCTCCAGAAAGGGCCATGTGTAGCTTCACAAAAATAGCAAACAAATCATAGCAATAAAAAGCGTAAGAAAAAAAAATCAGGTAAACCTGAAGCCAAATATTGTTCAATACCAACTGTTTGATTCACTGCAGAAAGAAAAATAGTCTGGGGAAAAAAAAAAACATTAACTTTGCATCATTGGTAAAAATGCCAGAGGCTGTCACAAGATTAAAAAAACAAAGAGTTATCAGTCATTAAGAACAGCTTTCTCTCCTCATGTTGATATCAAATGTTAAAAGAGTGAATATTAACATAAAGAGATTTTTAAGCACAGAACATGACAAGAAGATGCTATATCCATATCAGTAGGAGCAACGAACTGCACCAATCATGTAAATAAAAGAACATGTGAAATGGGATTTAGATTTGAATGGGAGAAACCTATTGACCAGGTGTCAGAAGGGCTCAGGGTCAGATCACGTGCAGGACTGAGTTTTGGCAGCATTTGTTGTGAAAACGTCCCCATGGAAGGGTGTGGGACCATAACACCCCTACTGCAGGCAGGGGCTCCCTTTGGAATGGAAGCTCCTCCATATATTTACCTTCCCTGCTGGACACCTCAGCCCTTCTCTCCTTTTAAAAAAGCAAATACTTTAATTGAGTATAAAAATCTGCTTTCTAAATGAGATACTAAGAAGAGTCTAAAGTAGAAGGTGTGAATTCTCTCCTTCCCTCCTTAAAGAAATCGCTCCCAGAAACATTCAGTAGCTTTAAACACACGGTGTTGTCCCACCTGAAAAGGTGGCTTTGGGGCAGTGAGATTCCCAGGCAGAAGCTAAAAACTCCAGTCACCTCCCTCCTTGCTACACACATCTGGAAATCCAAGGGCACCTCAGATCCGTTCGTATCCCCTGTGCGGCTTCCTCCGGGAAATGAGGAAGGTGACAAACACAATGACAAAGAGTCCCAGGATGCTCAGGCCCACCGCGATGGGAGCTGCTCTGCTGTTCCTGTCAGGAAAACATTCTTCTTCTGGAAGTCAAAGGAGATCAGAGAACGTGTCACAGCAGAACACTGTGCTCCTAGGCTATACACCTACATTCCAGAAAACTTAGCAAATATAAGCCACAAGTTCTCAAAACCTTGTTTTCTCTTTTTTTTTCCCCTTTCTTTTTCCTGAGCTGTACTTAAGACATTTTTATCTGTGGTGACAAAACACTACTTGCCCCTTTTGAAATAGCTACGTGCTTCACTGGGGAATGACTCTGCTCTTTCACGCCTGCAGTAATTGTTTTACCATCAAGATCAGTACATGCACAGCGCGAGTTTTTCCTGCCGAAAGCAGGTGTGGAGCATCACACCACAAAGCACAGGTCTAAAAATAAAGAGCAAGACACATCAGACCTTCCATCTGATCTATAGGAACGGTCCCTCCTTGGGCTACGGGGAGAGACAGATCTCTAGCATGATGCTTGGAGTGGCACTTGAGCAGCAGACTGTCCCCAAGGTGGAGTACCATGACCTAAACCCCATGGTCTGTCCCAGCTTAGAACCCAGTTTAGGGTACAAAGGGGATCCAACACCCTCCACCCCTTTCATTCCCTCTGATGATTCCAGAGCAGACATTTTTACAGCTTCCCAGACTCAAACAGGCCAAGCTATGGCTGTAACGCTGCTGCAGACTGTACAAAATTGTAAGGAACCTGAAACCAATGATCATTAACGTTTTCTTTTTCTTCCCTTTTTAAAGGTAAGTAAATCAGGAGCAACAGAAGTGAAACTACCAGCCTCGAGACACCCAAGAGGAGGCTGGTGATGTGTGGAGTGTCATTCCTTCATTGGGGATTTTCCCTTTCAAAATCTGCATACACAGCAGAGGTACGCACCAGTTTCATAACTCTTTCATGGCCACTGGGGAAATAGTTCAGTGGTGCTAGCTGCTTCCTCAGCCCACTGATTAAGAGCAAAACTAGTTTATTTTTGCATACGGTATTGACTAGCAGAGATTAGCCTGACTTTGGAGAGAGAGACAGAAAATCTTTCTAAGCTCTGTCTCTGCTAGAGGTGAGGCCCCACCAAAAGCCATAACTGAACTCATTGTACAAAGGCAAATGGGGATGTGGGGGTCAGATGGGATCCCATGAGTTGTTCCAGCTCAGTGTTATCCCAGGAAAAATATCTTCATGAGGAGGACAGCGCAGATTGGATTCTCAGTGTGGCTTTTAAGAATTTAAAGAAAGGTATGCAAAAAAAAGGTCCACGTCTTTAAAAAAAGCTCCAAATATTGTTTCCCATTATATTCCTTTTAGAATGAGAAATTGAGCCAAAATGGTGAACTAACAAAAGAAGAATCGGTCAAAGAGCCAAACTGAGTCAAAAGAGAGATTTAAAGTAAAAAGACTACAGGGGCAATATTTGGTAAGCATGCCAAAAGTCAAATGTCAGAAGAAGGGAATGTCATCTTAGTGCCTCTGAAGGGCTGGAGAGCTGATGAGCCTCCACCCGAGTTCCTGTATGGAAACACCCTGAGAAAAAGGCACAGAAAGGTGGAGATGTACAATTTGAAACAGACCACAAGGTCCCATCTATTTCACCTCTCTGCTTTTTGTAGGATCTTTCATGCATCTCACAAGAGGTGAGACCGCGGGACTGTCCATACCGTGGGACACGGGAGGTTCTGGTGCCCCCAGCAGCCCCAGACCCCGCAGCCTGGTCAGGTCCTGGCTGCATCATCGGAGGAGAAACAAGGCTGACAGCATCTCATTGCCCCGTGGAGGGAACCCCAGGTGTGGGTGGAGGGAAGAAGTTGTGATAAGCCCCCATACTGGGCAATCCAGGGACCAGGGGAGTCAGTACTGGTCTGTCTCTGTATTTTACTATGTATTTACCGAGTTCCTGTATGGAAACACCCTGAGAAAAAGGCACAGAAAGGTGGAGATGTACAATTTGAAACAGACCACAAGGTCCCATCTATTTCACCTCTCTGCTTTTTGTAGGATCTTTCATGCATCTCACAAGAGGTGAGACCGCGGGACTGTCCATACCGTGGGACACGGGAGGTTCTGGTGCCCCCAGCAGCCCCAGACCCCGCAGCCTGGTCAGGTCCTGGCTGCATCATCGGAGGAGAAACAAGGCTGACAGCATCTCATTGCCCCGTGGAGGGAACCCCAGGTGTGGGTGGAGGGAAGAAGTTGTGATAAGCCCCCATACTGGGCAATCCAGGGACCAGGGGAGTCAGTACTGGTCTGTCTCTGTATTTCACTGAGCCACATGGTGGCTTCCTCGTGACTGCACTCAAGAAAAGACAACTTGCAGAGGTGAGCATCACAGTTAGTTCTGAAATGGGGAGCATGCCCATCACACTCCTCCTCAGGAGCACGTCTCCCCGTGTCTAGACACAGCTGCTCTGAAACTTTCATCCTGCATTCACAAATATCCCTTATTAGTTGGCAGTTTTGCTGCTGCAGCTGTGGGACCTCACGGGTGTCAAGAGCCTTTCAAAACATCTAAAATCTGGTGGCAGGAGAGCAGTGACCTTGAACTGAGCAGTAGATGCCAGGGGTTGGGGCAGTGCAGCGGGGGTGAGCACACCTCTGCTGGCTCGGGGGGAAAAGGGGTGAGGAAGGAGGGGGGGAAAGGTGTCCTACTTACCTTTTCCAAACTGGTTGCCCGCAATATCGAACGCCTGCAGCTGCATGTTAACAAAGAGCAGCTGGAAGTGATTCTCCAAGGCGAAGATTTGCTTGCTGACACACTTAAAGGAATTCCCCAGCGTTGTGGTAAACAGCTTGTCACGTATGGCCGCGTAGTAAAGCATACCTGGAGGCACAGAGAGAGGGAGAAATGAGAATCCACACTAGCTCTGCTGGAGCCAGCATCTCTCTGAGGTGCTCTGGCAGAGCAGCAGTCACAGATGTGACTAAAGCATGGACATTTCCCCCATAATACAGTCATTAACCTGTCACAGATTTGATATATCGGGAAGGATTTGTGCAAAATTAAAGTCAGAGAAAAATCTGAAGTGATGGCTCAGAATTTTTCTTTGATGAAACTACAGCCCGGTCCCTTCTCTTCCACTTTGAAGCCAGAAGATTTAGGTGAATGACATGTTGAAAGCCTGATAAAACACATAATTTGCAAAACCCAGTGTTGTAAAGATACGAAAGCCTATCCCACGCCCGGAAGAGTTTGATAGGAAATTAAGACAGTGTAAAATCACTGACCTCCAGAAAATGACTGCAATCCGCTCTCAATTTTACTGACATAGTACATTGGGGGTTGCTGCAAAGGAAGATACATCTTTATTCCTAATACTTCCTCATATTCATGAAAAAAAAATACAGTTCACCACAGCAAAATAGTCACAAAGACTTTCCCAAAGAAACACATTTTAAAGCCTCACCTTCAATACCCAAGACCCAACTTGCTTGGAATTATTGCTCTTTCTTTCCCAGCTCACTCTGCCACCATCTCACGGGGGCACCACGCGGTTCCCCTTCCATCTGCCCCCCGCAGCCACCACAAACCAGGGAAAGAGGAGGGGAGGAAGAACTGGTCTTCCCACCCCACTGACACTGCCTGTGCCCCAAAATCCTCATACAACCTGACCACTGTCCTCCCCCCGCTGTCACAGTGTGAGAGCCAGCCCTGGAGCTTCTCCCTGGTCTGGGTGCGGGGGTCTGGACATTTAATGGTTCCTTTTAATTCCAGCTGTGAGCACAGCTGGGGGATAAATGGCAGTGGACATGAATGTCTCCTGTGCGCCCAGTTTTAGTATCACGTAGTTTAAAAGCTGGTAAAATGGATTAGGAAAGTTTAAGAAATACCCACCCCACTGACACTGCCTGTGCCCCAAAATCCTCATACAACCTGACCACTGTCCTCCCCCCGCTGTCACAGTGTGAGAGCCAGCCCTGGAGCTTCTCCCTGGTCTGGGTGCGGGGGTCTGGACATTTAATGGTTCCTTTTAATTCCAGCTGTGAGCACAGCTGGGGGATAAATGGCAGTGGACATGAATGTCTCCTGTGCGCCCAGTTTTAGTATCACGTAGTTTAAAAGCTGGTAAAATGGATTAGGAAAGTTTAAGAAATACACCAGAGAAGAGGTCCTCAGCATTATTCCCACTGAAAAAACACAAACAGGTCAAATATTACCATTTTTCTGGTGGCAGCGCTTTGTGCTGTTTGGCCACAGTGAACAACTTCTCGGGGAAAACACCTGCTCCCACTTCACATCTTGTGGTTTGGTTACAAAACTTCCTTTTTTTGGGTTTTTTTGCAGGAGGTGGCAGGCGGGGGGGGGCACTGAGCTCGCTCCCCCGGGGCCTGGGCCAGCTTCTCTTTCACCAGAGAGAATCAGAAGTGCCAGCAGTGGAGCATTCCTGGTTCAAAGCAGGAGAGGCCGCGGGGCCAAACACATCAAAACCAGCAGCAAAGTGATTTCTTATTGACTTGAATTTCAAAGAAGCCTAAGCCGAGCCGCTACCCTCTTGAGGCTTATCTTGAAGTGAAGAGTGATTGCCTAATGCTGTGCCAATAACCACCTTTTTGGGCGAGACAGGTCAAGTACCTCCTTAAGGCTCACATCTCTCCTTAGCGCTGCCTCCAGCCGGGCCTTTCATGGGTACTCGAATCACCAGGCTCTTCCTAAGGATCCTTGTAGCACGGAGAAGGCTGCCCTTGGTGCAGGAAGCATCCCTCTAAAGCAAACACTCATGTCTGAACTGATCCTTTGTCTTAGAACAGCTCCTTCGTTTTTTTACTGCACTTTTCCCTGGCGGCTTTAAGAAAACCTGCTGTAAACTTTTCGTTTGATGATTATTGGTTGGAATAATTTCTCTGCTCAAGCATTACTGACTGAGGTGTGGTATAGTTTGCTGTTTCCTCTTGGGCTTTCTGTGGAAATGACTGGATAACTGCTTGTAGTTTTGTCAGTTGTCACTGATCTGAGCTTGGAGCTTACACTTTGGTGTGATGAACTGAAGGGACAGACCAGCAGCGATGGCCAGACACGGCTCTGAACTGCTCTGGAGCTCCAGGACATGGCTTTAATGCCTGCACACTCAGAGTCTGATAGGATCCAGTCCATGTCGTGTTCCTCCCTGCCCGTTAATGACTTTACACACAGTATTCACTCCTGTCTTCAGCCCCGCTGGCATCACCCCTGCCCTGAGCAGCTTCCAGAGCGATGGCACTTCCCACTGCCTCCCAGAAACGTGTACACTGGGGAGATGTGTGAGGAAGCAAACGCTGCACCCCACAGCTTTCCCTGTGGTTATAATGTCAGCAGCATCTCAAATCCTCATCCACGTACGGCGAGGTCCCAGTGAGGAACACGGTGTCAACAGACACAAAGTCAAAAAGCAAGCTCATTGTCCCATGCTGGAAGCACGGGCCCCTCTCTTGGCCAAGTCTCTGTGTGTTACTCATGAGCCTCCCAGGTGTGGTGCGTTTTAAGGGCACTTACCTACAGTTTTGTTGTTGTAGTTCACCTGTTTGGAATTTTCCACTCAGAAATTAGATTAAATGAGTCCCCTTCAGCTGTGGATGGGGCACGGCTCCTGGGCACTTGCAACTGCCTGGGCTGCCCTTCGGGTTGAACAACCACAGCTGGCTTTTGGCTGGGCACTTGGGATTTGTGGGAAGGAAATGACCAACCTCACCCACACTCGGCTGTCCCTGAAACACCACTTTGCTGGAGGAACTTGGTGGCGTGGGTCAGAGCTCCCGGCACACACACCTCGTTCCCACACTGGGACTCCAGCCCCAAACCCATTCCCTGTCCCTCTGCAACACAAACAGCAGACCTGCCCTTCCCTCCCCACAAATCGAGACACAGATTTTGGCTTGGGGCTATTTCTAGACTTTGTGTTGCTAGACCAGTAGCTTTAACACCGTTCTGAAAGGATGGCAGGGCACTCTGCTTACCCTTCATTGTGCGTACGAACCTTTCCAAATTCAAAGTTCAAGTAGACAAGACCTGATTTGACGTTGAGGTTAGCCCTGCTCTGAGCTGGAGGCCTCCAAAGGTCTTTTCCAACCTGAATTAACCCGTGGTTCTCTGATTCCAGCCTCTCGGGAAGGACAGGAGCATCAGTGCCTCACATACGGGTGGGAGAGTAGCACAGAGATGGATGAAACGCCTTTTCACACAGCACCTGCTGGATCACCGACCCTGAAGGCTTATTTCCCTCTAAACGCAACGATTACCTTTACAAAAGTGAAGTTTATAAACCCTCCGCTGAAAGTGATGTTCATCTCGGCCTGCGCCGTCCCACAGCTGCCCGAGGTCTGGGTGGCGTTGGGGTTGACAGCCAGGTACTGCATCCGCTTCTGCAGAGAGGAGAGACACTGCTGGGGAGGAGGTGGGAGAGGAGGAGGTGGAGAAGCCTTCGTAAGGAACACACCAAGATTTAGAGCTGAGGGACACGGGTTAGCGGTGGACTTGGCAGCATCGGGTTTAAGGATGGACTCCATGATCCTAAGGGTCTTTTTCAACCTAAATGATTCTGTGAAACTTACAGAATCACAGAATCTTCATGGTTGGAAGGGACCTTTGGGATCATCGAGTCCAATCATACAAAATTACTTTCACCAACATTAGATACTCATCCTAAGTTTGAAATACTCAGACGCCAGGCCAGAATATTTGGAATTCCAATGGGAATGGCTCGAGATACATGAACTGCGAAGCCTGGGGATCTGACCCCACAGATTGTATTAATGGCAGTTACAAAACCTTAATTCTGAGGGACATAATCACCATTTCAGGTTTTCTTACATCTTTTGCTGAACCATTCCCAGTGGGTCACTGCTAGGAGAGGGTACCAGCTCCCCAGGACCCCTGCTGTGATCCAGCCTGGCAGTTCCTGTGATCCCCAAATCTCCATGCACCAGCGTGAGGACAATCCACCTCTGACTCCAAGTCTGAGCTGGTGATTTCCTCCTTTCATTGTGACTCGCAATGTCAAGCCCTTCACTGAGGTCACTTCAGATTTTAATTAGTCTCCCATTCTGGGAAGCACAGATCACACCTCCCAAATGTTGCTACCCCAGATACCTCACAGAACTCAGAGAGCACCCGTGTGTCCCACTGACACCATCACACAAGCCAAAGTACAGCAGCTGGGGTGCTGTGGCACGGCAAAGGCCCTGGGCTGGCAGCAAACCACTGATTTTTTATCCCACAAGCTAACTTCTAAAAATTGCTTTGAGAGAAGAAGAATAAATTCCAGCTAATGAAGACACAGTTACAAAGCTCAGGCCTGTGGTGCTTCTACCTCACCTCCTGGGGATTTTGAGCCATCAGCTGCAGCCCCATGACCGCTTTGATGCAGGTCCTGTTCCCGCTGGCCACGGTGTAGGTGCCGGTGGGGATGGCAGAAGGTTGCGGTGCCAGAGTCGGTCTCGCTGCCGTCGTAGTGGATGGGGCGGCCGTTTGAGTCCCTGGACGAACGGTCGTCATGTTGGTCGTGGTTGGACTTTTAGGTGCTGTTGTTTGGTTTCCTGACCCTGTGGTGGGCTTTACGGTCTGGGTGGTGGTGGCTGTAGCAGTCATGGCAGCAGTTGTCATCTGTGTGTTTGGGGTAGTATGATTTACGGTTGTGTTTGTGGGTGCCATCGTCATGTTTGTGCTCACATAAGTTCTCGTTTGCTCGGTTGAGGACACAGGGGGAATGGTTGTGGTGTTCTCTGCAGGTGTTCCCGCTCCCATCGCCTGGGTTGTAGCTTGAGTGGCTGCGGTTGCATCGTCTGCTGATGGTGTGGACACCACCACGGGAGAGGTCTGGCCGGTCACTTGTGTGGTGGTGTCTTCTGACACGTGATGGGCTGGTGCTGTTGTCCTCACAGCTGTGCCATGGCTTAGGGGTGTTGTTTCAAGAGAGCCTGTGCTGTTAAAATGAACAGTGGTGCCTTCATGGGGTGAAGACTGATAAAGGGAAAGCGGTGGAGCAGAAGTATCCGTATGGTGGAAGGATGTGGTTTCTGGAGACGGTTCGACCCCCAGGGACACTTCAGCAAGGCAGGAGGAAAGCGCTGCAAAGAAACAAAGAAGTCAGTAGTCTGGATACCGTTGCATTTGACATTTCTGCTGATACCCACAACGTAACTGCCCTGATTTTGTTATTGAATGGGTGATATGATTTTTTCTTCATTTGGAGAGTGAAAGCAGATGTGCTGTAGGACTATCCATAACTCTTCCCCACTATCCCCATCTCCACACCTCTGAACAGACCCACTGCAGGGGCAGCACGTCGGCTCCCGGCTCCCCCAGCGCTGCTTTTACTGCCGAAGGAGGCAGAGGATGCTGGAGGTGTGAGCAGAGCGAAGGAGGCAGAGGATGAAGGAGGCAGAGGATGCTGGAGGTGTGAGCAGACCGTGCCCAGCCCCAGGCTGCACAGGAATTCCCTCGCAGGCAGCGGCACCGCTGGATTTGGGAAAAGCAAGTGAGGAAGGTCTAAGGAAGATGAAGTGGGTGTAACAGGCGAAGGGTGGCTGGTTACTTACCCAAAGCAGGGGGAAAGGGAACATTTTGTGTGTGTGAAGGACGTGAGGCAGCGTAACGGCCTGACAGGGATGCACAATAGTCTGGGAGACAGGGGAACTCCAGGAGTTAATTTACGGTTTTGTTGTAGCCACCTCAGCTGGAACCCCGAGGTTCTTCCTCCTGGGAGGCACCCGAGGGGATGCTCCAAGCAAGGAAAAACCCACCCTCTTAGTGATGCTCTTTCAGCAACAAGAAACAAATGTCAGGGTACAGCAGCCAGGGGCTTTTTGGACCACATCTGAAAATAGTCACAGCCCCAAAATTATGCTTCCATAGAATAGAACCATAGAATCATCTAGATTGGAAGGGACCTTTAAGATCATCTAGTCCAACCATCAACCGAACTCGGAAACAAACAAACAAACCTCGAACAAACAGAAATATAACAACCTATCACTAAACCATGTCACTGAGCACTATGTCAACCTGTCTTTTAAATTCCTCCAGGGATTTGTTTGTTTGGTTTTTTCCCCAACTTAAAATACATCAGAATAACCCTTAGAGTGTATATATTTCACTGGGTTTAGTTTTCTAAAGAGAAGAGTCTAAGCATTTCTTACATAGTGTGTTCTACAGAAATATGTAAAGTTATATTGAAAACGTTTACTTCATTTTTAAAATTCTGCCAAAAGTATTTTGTCAGTTACTCTGTTCGCTTCTGGAACTGAAAGGAAAATATCTGGCTCCTAAATGTAAATAACAAAGTGAAGAAAAAGTGTGAAAATTATGTTGTAGAACAGATGAAGCTCACGACGCTTCTGCGTGAGTCATTGTTTATGAGTATGCAACAAGACTCTGTAAAGACAAGGCCAAACTAAAAGAAATCATAAATCACTGGCATGTATGAATTCCTGGGTGGGCATGAATCTCCAGGTGTAGTTAAATGCCTAAATTAGCTGGAGGGCAGAATAATTCTCCAGTTTGGAGACAGAAGGGACCCCAAAGTCCAAGACAGCTCACGTTCCTCTGCTCCCCACAGGACGCCACAACATCATCTGAGAAGTTTATTGTACTCTGGTTTTCCCAAAGAAATTTCTCATGAATTGGTACGGAAGCTGTGTGGCAGGTGGGTTGCTGAGATTTGGATTTTGGGCTCGATTCAGGGCAGAGGCACATTCAAGGTGCAAATGGCTGAAATCTCACAAGCTCATCTTCCTGTCATTTATTTACTTTCACTGAGTGTGAGCAAAGATCTGCAGCAATAGCCGAATTCCCAAAATCTCACCTTTTCAGGGTCCACACAGACTACATCAGAATAATAAAACCTACTGGGTTTTGAATCAAATTCAAGATCGAAATGACAGAAATGAGAACAGATGTATAGATCTGAAGCCACACTTGATTTTTCCCTTCAAGTGGCTGAAGAGCAGAGGTGCAGACCTGTACCCCGTGCTCCTCAAACCCCCTGGGTTCCACCTCGGGGCTGGTGGGAGCGTGCCCGACTGCCCGTCTCACTGGTACCACCAAAGGGCAACTCGATGCTGTCAAAAAGCCACAAAAAAACCAGGAGAGATCCCTCCGTGATTTTTATCAGAAGGAACTGAAAAATGCCATAATTAATATGACACTTTAGTTCATTTTCTCACTTTCCCCTGGATTTTACCACACCTGCTGGCAGGGCTGAGAAGCGGAGAGCTTATCTCCTCCTCTCTTTCCGCCAGTGGAAAACGAGGGCAGTAGCCACACACCAGCCACACACCAGCTCCATCTAAGCTGGCGGCAGAGTAAAAACAAAAAAAGAAGAAGTCACAATTTTCACTCTTTTCTCCCCCCATAAGATTGCAAAACAACCCGCATTTGAATTTACCCAAGTCTTAAATAGTCAGTACTTCTTAGTTTTCAGTTAAGAGATTGGTTTCGATTGCTGACCAGACAGCACTTCTCCTACAGACCTGAAGAGAACCAGCATTTCACTGGCAGCTGGATGTCACCCATCACTTTTAAATGAAACTTCATTTTCCCCAAAAGGTCATTCCAGCCTAACGTTTTTTCACTAGGGAGATGTTCAGCGTGACAAGGTCTCCGAGGGGTAGAGTCAGAGATGGCTTGGGGTGGCCCATGGCTTGTGGTCCCTGGGTGACCTACCAGGCTGCTCCTCCGTTGGTGTCACAAATGCCCCAGAACCCTCCATGCACCCAGCTTCTCCTACAGACCTGAAGAGAACCAGCATTTCACTGGCGGCTGGATGTCACCCATCACTTTTAAATGAAACTTCATTTTCCCCAAAAGGTCATTCCAGCCTAACTTTTTTTCACTAGGGAGATGTTCAGCGTGACAAGGTCTCCGAGGGGTAGAGTCAGAGATGGCTTGGGGTGGCCCATGGCTCATGGGTGACCTACAAGGCTGCTCCTCCGTTGGTGTCACAAATGCCCCGGAGCCCTCTGTGCAGCCAATGCTTCAGAGCAAAACCCTCAGAAAAGGCTCAGGGCCACACTCAGAAATTCACTGTCCCCATTCTGGGTCTGAAGACCCCGTGTTCCTGCCCTGGTGACCAGGGACGTTCAGTCAACGCCAGTGATGGAAGGTCACCGCTCTGTCACCGCTCTGCTCCCCGTGCTACGGTGGGAAGCGGAGCTGTGGTCTGGCCGTGACATGTCTCACCCTGCCTTCCTGCAACGGAGCGGGTGAAAAATAAAACCAACCCTTTCTGGGGATTTTTTCAGCGTCTCGCCTGACCACACGGCGATGCTGCTCGGCAGGTCTGTTCCGCTTTCTGCTGCTCAGAAGAAATGCTGATGTTTGGCTGATTCCGTGTGGACACGGAAACCTGACCCGGCTCCGAGAGTCACTGGGAACGCTCCCTCTGGCTGCTTCAGCCCCAGTCCTTGAGGAACTGGAAAAGCACCGAGATTTTCTGAGAGGTTTTGGTGCTGTTGTAGTTTCCCTCCGACACAGGAGCAGTTTCTTAAACCTCCAGCCCATCCCCTTTATCCCTCAAGCTCTAATTATGATTCCCTGTCCGCACAGAAAGACTTGACTTTGTGGCACTAATAAAACACCACAACAAATTATCAAAGGAATGATCAAAAGCGGGTAAGGAGCTGAGGAAAGAAGTTCTTTCTGGTCAGAAGATCCTTGCTGACCACCGAGTGTTACCCCTCCCAGCCCGATCTCGCTCTCCTCTCATACATACATTTTGGGACTAATTCAGCAGATCCTGGCGATGAAGCGGGTGTGGGAAATCAGAGCAGGGACAGGAGGAGCTGCTTGTGCTCCAGTCCCCTATCCGCACAGAAAGACTTGACTTTGTGGCACTAATAAAACACCACAACAAATTATCAAAGGAATGATCAAAAGCGGGTAAGGAGCTGAGGAAAGAAGTTCTTTCTGGTCAGAAGATCCTTGCTGACCACCGAGTGTTACCCCTCCCAGCCCGATCTCGCTCTCCTCTCATACATACATTTTGGGACTAATTCAGCAGATCCTGGCGATGAAGCGGGTGTGGGAAATCAGAGCAGGGACAGGAGGAGCTGCTTGTGCTCCAGTCCCCGGGCTGTTCCCCTGCTCTCTGCGTGGGGAGGGGGACAGGGCTGCTGCCCATCCATCCCTGGGTGCCCACGGCAGCCCCGGCTGCAGGAACCCCCCAGCCAGCTCCAACAGACCCTGGCACAGATTGAATCACGCTCCGTCCTTCTGCCCCTGGTTGATTTTGAGGGTGTTGAGGGACGACTGGCCGTGCTGGGACACGTCCTGGGCCGAGCTGGCCCCAGAGCAGCACTAAGGACCACTGTGCCGTGGCCACAAGCCCCCCCATCCTTCTCCGAGCCCCCCCCCGGCTGCCCTTCGCTGGGCTCTGCCTCTGGATGTGGGCAAAGGAGTGACTCCAGCAGCGCTGCCTCCGCTTTCCCGCTGCCCCTCTCACCCCAGTTTCCCTCAGTTTCTGCTGGAAATCATTTCTAATTAAGAAAAGCAAGCCCCCCCAAAAAAGTCTGCTTCTCGGAGCTGACTCCATCGCACGGTTTGTGTCACCCCAGAGCGGAAAATACAGGGGAAAACATCAAATTGAGTGTGCACCAGCTGCGAGGAGCCGCCGTCGGTGATGTCTCAGCGGCGGGACTGCACCAAAAGCTCCGTGACCCCCAGCAGCAAAACCGGGCAGAGCCCCCAGCCCCCCCAGCCCCCCTGGCTGCAACGGGCCCGGCCCGGAGAGACCCCCTTCAGCCGCGGAGAGGATGGGGACCGGTACTTACCCCAGGCGAAGGTGAGGAAGAGGAGGGTCCGGCGGCTCCAGCCCATGGCCGGCGGGTCCGGCGGCGGGAGGGAGGGAGGGAGCCCCGGGAGGGAGCGGGTCCCCCGGGGCCGGGAGCGGTTCCCCCGGGGCAGGGAGCGAAGGATGGAGGAGGCGCGGAGCCCGGTGAGCGCCGCGGGAGGAAACGGGCGCTGATGAGGAGAGAAAGTGAAAGCAGAGAGGGCTGGGGGCGCTAATTGGGGGCGGGCAGGCTCCCACCCCCACCCAGTGACAGCCCCCTCTCCCGCCCCCAGATCCTGGGGCAGGGTGACAGCCTCTAACGCAGCACCTTCCCCTCTATTCCTTAAAAAACTACTTTCTTCAGGGCCCAAATCTCTCCTTTTCCTTAAGACACAGAGGGGAGGTGGCAGCTGCACTCACCTGCACCCCCTAAAGTGCTGAGCAAAGCCCCCGAGGGCTCTGGTCCCAGCTGGGGGCTCCCAGTGCCTTTGCTGGCCCCGTCCCACTCCAGGGACCGAGGGTGGTGGAGCTGGTGGCCGAGGTGGCTCGTCCTTGGGGTTGTGTCCAAACACAAACCTCAGCAAAGCCCAGGGAACCCCCTCTGTCCCGGGGTCCCCCACAGACCACGCTGGGCTGGGGTGGGATGAGCACGGGCAGGTCCTGGCACACCTGAGGGACACTGGGGACCTGGAGAGCGTTCCCCACGCGTGCCCCTGCCTTCCCAGCCCTGGGAGGGGGGGACCAAAGCCACCCCCACCCCCGGGACCTGCTGTGGTCCCAGCTCTTCATCTTCTCATACCAATGTTGCGGCCAACGACTGAAACCCTGGAGCAAGGTGAAGCTCGTCCCCAGAAATCTGGTACCTGCTGAAATGGCACCAGATTTATTTTGCTCTCTGTGTTTGCCTTGTGTAGCTGCATTCTCGCTTTTGCCCTTCTACATAATCACGCATCTGGGTCAATTAGTGCTCCCCAAGGCATGCAGATATCTCAGGGACAGCCATAATGAACTTATCCTGCCACTTCCTCGCCCCGTGGCTGCAGCACCAGCACCCCCAGCCCTGACCTGTCTGGGTGAACCTCCTCAGGCTCCCCAGAGTCCCGGGGATTCAGGAACACCACTAAGGGAGATGGGTAAAACAAAAAAAAAAAACCCACTTTGTGCCTTTTGTGATGTGTGTGTTGGACAAATGAAGTTATATCAAAAAAAAAAAAAAAAAAAAAACCCACTTTGAGCCTTTTGTGACGTGTGTTGGACAAATGAAGTGATATCGGAGAGAGGTGTGGAGTTTTTGTGTGCTGGTGTGTGTGCCTTTGCTGTCACTCCTTCATTTTGGGTAGAAGCTCGTTGGGCTCATCGCTTCACACAGAGACATCAACCACAACATTTGGTACTTGTTATAATTTTTATAAATTTCAAACAAAGTGTGGTTCTACACAGGTCAAATGGCCTCATTACAGAAAGTCCATTTGCACACTTTTTTTTTCTTGTAATAAACTCATACATTCTGTCTCGACTGGAAAAAAAGGGACAGGTAATTCTGTGCTCTGTCCCTGTCTGATTATCTCTCGTCAGCCACAATATACAAATACATCATTATCAACACCATGGAAAATACGTAAGAAAAACAAACTGTACCAATTCTCAGCTGGGGAGAGGAAATCTTAGATCTTAGCAGCTATTTCAGCTCCAGCTGCAAGAAGAAATACACAATTTGGCTCTTTTTTTCTTATTATTCTTATATATTTCTAATCATACATATATTATTTGAAGTCAGGCTTTGAGTATTTTTGGAAAGGCGGCGCACGGCCCTTCTCATACCCAATCCGCTTTGAAACCTCAGAGTCTAAGAAAATTACGGATAATAAAATGGCTTTTCATCACATCCACAACCAGAGCGGGACACACACACGGCTCGGCCGTCCCCTGAGGGAAAGCCAGTGCCAGACCTGGTTTGGCCACCACCATCTGTGATCCAGGTCAGTCTGATCCTCCACCCGGAGGGGTCAGACGGGAGAGGAGGAGAGGATTTACTAAAATTTAGCAAATTGGCCTGATGTACTAACAGCAAGACTTACGTGTGGTGGCAGGTGCCCGTCCCTCTCTGTGGTTCCCAGCAGGGAAGGAGCCCGTTGCCCAGCGCAGGGGGCGAGCAGAGGGCTCGGTCCCAGGAGGTGAGGTCTCTGCCAGCTCTGCAGGAGCTGGAGCAGAGCAGAGGGAGGAGATGGAAGCCAAAGCTCAGCGAGATCCACCTCCCAGCTCAGCCTGGGGGGCAGCTCTCACTGCTCCAACCCTGGGGGGAGCAGCCAGGAGCCGGTACCGATGTGGGGACACGATGCTCAGCCAGGAGGGCTGCTGCAGCAGGACTCACCTTGGACCTTCCCTCCTAGGAGCAACCATTACTTGACTCCCTGGTCACCGCATCATCTCCAGACAACACCGAAATGAAATCCATATTTGGAAACTATGGTTTTGGGCTCCCTCTGCCTGAAAATGGTGGTGTCACAGATCTGCACACAGGATGAGTGTGCCTTCACCTACACGTCAGTCTTGCTGGACATTACCAAATCCTGTTCCAGACCGTGCATGGAGAGTCATTCCCTTAATTATCACCTTGCTTGGCAGAAATGCACTAATTACAAGACCATCCTGTCTGCTGTTTAAGTCACCAAGGCCCATTTTGCCTCCTCAGCAACGCCAGAAGGTCCCAGCTTGTTGGCTGCTCTCAGAGGTGGCAGCAGCCCGCTCTCTCGCTGAACTTCAGGCTTTACAAGAAAACGGGGTTTTGTTTTCAAAAGCAAAGTAGGGAGGAGAATTGTTCCAACTCAGCCCCTGCCTCTGTGGCTGTCAGGGCGAGATGGGGAGCTGGGAGAGGGGACACGCTTCTGCAGCGACCCTCTGCCCTGCTCCTGCCCCACGGGAGGTCACCACCAACACTCCCAGTGGGACACAAGGGGTTAAACGCTTTGCTGTCCCCTGGAGGGTCCCCAGTTTTTACAGGCAGGCTAAAATTTAGCATCAGAATTTGACAGAAACCCGACAGCTCCCATTTCACAGGGAGAGGTGGTGGCTCGGGGGACAGGGGGCCGCACGCTGTCCCCCCACAGAGGCAGGAACACACTGACCCTTCCCCGTTTCCCTCCGAGAGCTCCAACAGAGACACCTCACCCCGGAACGAATCCCTCCAGAGAAACCCCAAAGTGCAGGTTTGCATCTTTCCATCTGTCAGCAATGTCACAAATCCGCATTTTGGCAGTTTCACACGCCCAGGGTAACCCTGCCCCGTCACACACACAAACACACACACACACACACACACTCTCACTATACTCCTCCATGTGCAAACTCCCCACCCCTCTCCTCCTCTCCTCGGCAGGGGGGACAGAAGTGCTGTTGCCAGGCCGTGCAAATAGCACTGAAAGTAATACAGAAACCAAAACAAACTCATTTTAGGGAGAGGATAAAGCAATTGCATGAAAGAATGCGTCACTGCATATTTCTGCAGGGGACTGGGAGGAATCACCCCCTCCCTCCAGACGCTGGGTACAGCAGCAGAGTGAGAGTGTTCCTGTCCCTGAGAGCCCAGCCCTCACCTCTGGGGTAAATGACCAGCACAAAGCAGACGGGCTCTTCTCTCTTAGGATAAAAGTGGCCTCCAGAAAGGTACAGAACTCTCAAGTCCTTCAGTCATGAATGAAAAAAGGGTCAGAAATCACAGAATTTCAATACTGATGGTTAAAAGAACCACGGGAATTCACCACCACAGTGCAACTCATCATTAACCAATAAGCCTTCACAAAAAAACAAACAAACTCTGAGTAAGCCTTTACCTGCTCCAAGGGTTTCTCCTGGCTGGGACTATCCCCCTGGCTCACACACCCGGCCTCCCCCGGGACACACGGGGGAGGAAAGTCCCCACAAAGGTGAGGGCAGAAATTACATGGACTCAGAGCCTCCGGTGCTAAAGAACGGGTTTTGGTTTTGCTTTGTCTCCATTTTTAGTGCTTTCGTCCCCTTTGTTATTTACACAGAGCACCACGGGTTGGGGTTACACAGGAAATCCCTAATGGGGAAAGCCAAACACCCGTTCTCCAGCTTCTGGGGCCCTTTCTGCCAGGCTGGGGCTACAGCCCCCACCATACTGATGGTTTCTAAAGGGTTAGCAGCTTGTGTGGGTCCTGAGACCCAATTACCATCAAAAAATGCCTTCATGCCTTAAGAGCTGCTCTAAATGAGCTAATGGCTTGTGTAGGAACAATAACATCTGCAATCACTTTATATTACACGTTACATCCTTATGTGGCAGAGATTTGGTACAGTCCCTTAATCAAATGTCCCGGAAAGAAGTATTTAACACCAACACTTTAATCCACTCACAGGAGCATCTAATGCTCGCTGCCTATTTGCAATGTTTAAGTATATTCCAAGAGGGGGGTGAAATGGAGCTACTCCCTAGCCCGGCACACACAGAAAGCATGCAGTCTACTCCGACACACGACAGCACACGGCCTTCCACTCGCTGCCCGCCGGCGAAGGGCCGTGACCCAGCAGCTACAGACTGGGGAGGGACGACGGACAGTGTAAAAGGAGTTCGAGATGTTCTTTGTCACAGTAGGTGTCACGCGCCTTTGCTTCCCCATGAAGCCCCGCGCCTCCAGCCCAGGGCCAGGAGGTACCCCCGGCCCAGGCAGCAGGTCCTCCCTCTGCCACCCCAAAAGGAGTCACACCATCGCCGCGCGAAGCCTCTCCCATGGTCCCATCCTTTCCACAGCCACCCTAAAATGGGATGTTTTTGGTGTCGGCCACCAGCGAAAAGGGCACGTTTGTGATGGATCCGCTGGAGTTAAGGAGGACAGGGAAGGCACAGCCAGAGGTGAGCAAATGGAAAACCCTGCAGGCACCCCCCGGCAGAGCAGGGACTCGTAACCACGCGTGTGTCCCTCGTGGTAACTCAGGCTTCAAGCAAAGTTGCCCAAAGGTGCGTGCATAGTAACTCCTCGGCTCCGCTCTCGGCCTAATTTAGGCCACATCTTCTGAACCAGTTTGATAATCAACGCGAGAAGCATTTCTCTCCCCTAACACTGAAGGTGGGTTCTGATGCTCCTTCCCACTCTGTTTTCCCCAGCTTGCCAGGTGGACAGCCCAGCTCTTGTCTGTTCGTGCGGACAGAGTTCGAGTGAATGATGAACCTCAGAGCTCCTGAGAAAGGCAACTCAGATCCAGCCTCCACCCAAAGCAGCCGGAGAGGGAGGGGGTCCCGGGGAGGCTGGTCCCAGGGCTCAGCTGCCGGCCCTCTGCTCCGCTGGGAAGCTCTTGGCCACCTCATTCTCCTTGGTGTCCGACTCCAGGGAGGCCGTGCTGCAGGAATCGTTGTACGTGTCTGAAAGGGAGGACATGGGCACGGTCACTACAGCACGGCTCAAGGCTTTCTCACAGAATCACAGAATCTTCTAGGTTGGAAGGGACCTCAAAGATCATCTTGTCCAACCGTCAACCTGACTGACAGAAATAGACACCCACACAACAAACAAGAAGCAACACCATCACTAAACCATACCTCCCAGCACTATATCAACCCGTCTTTTGAACACCTCCAGGGATGGTGCCTCAACCACCTCCCTGGGCAGCCCATTCCAATGTCTGATGACCCTTTCAGTGAAAAACAACATAAATTAAATGCCAGTACCTCATTTTCTGTGTTACCTGCATTGCTGTTCTTAATGATGGTGTGACTGTCCCCCTCTGCGGGCTGCAAGATACTGGAGGGAACCCAGTCGCTCTTCTCAGAGACCAGCTTCTTCACCAGCCTGAAACGGAGAGAGCAGTCAGAGAGCTCCCAACGTTCCCTCTCCCTGGGTTTCTTAGAGCTCATGTTGGGCAGCTCTTTCCTAAACGAAGGAAGGAGGCAGAGGACCCCGGGAATTCCTACAGGTGACTAAATTTTAGCAGTTTTTGATGGTGAGGGGTCTCCCAGCTCCCCCCCCACAAGCAGGCTGTGTGACAGGGAAGGGGTGGCCTCGGCCCATGTTTGACACCCTGGGCCAAATTCAGAGCTGAAGGAAATGAATCCTTCGTACTGCCCCCCGCCTTTGCTGCAAATACCCCCTGGGGGGGTGGATTTGGTTCATTCCCACCTTCTCCTCCCCATGGGACTCGCTCCAAGGTTCTGGGCGAAGGGTCTGACTCCACAGACCCTTCCCGGGGGTCGGAGCTTCTTTCCTCAAATCACCCATCAGGAGAACTGGGCTGAACAGCCGGGTCTGTCCCAACACTCACCCGCCAGCGAGAGGATAAATGCACCAAACTGTTTGTGAGCTCACGGGGGCCAGACCCTTCCACTCTGTCAGTCCCACCTTACACCTTCTATAGCCTTTGGGGTTAAAATGCCCTCCGGCCCCGGCTGGGAGGGGACAGGGATTTTACTGACGTGTCCCAGGGGAAGAGGCTGTTGTCCTTCTGGCCAGAAAGAGTCAAAAGCCCAAATATTCCCCTCCATTTCCTTTATGCAAACCTCTGTCCTCCTAAGCCTCATGTCACAAGTGTTTGGGACAAAAGCAGCCCGGTGGAAATAACCGAGGCTGCCTGTTCATGCCTCCTCTGCCCCGTCACGCTGTGGGCAGCAGGGCACTCGGGTCTGGATTGATTTTGACATCCTTCTGAATATTTTCCACCTTTTCCAGGGGGTTACGGCTGTTCTGTCACCTCCTGCCTCTCTGGGGTACTCACCATTGACCATTCTCTCCTTCCTGCACAAACTGCACTAAATCTCCATCCTCCAGGGTCAGAGAATCCGGGAAACAGCTGTCAAAGCTGCCTTCCACCCGAAAGAGATTGGTCCCCTAAAATGAACGAGAGAATGCACCAAAAATACAGTCACTGTGGATGAAAGAGAGCACGAGGTCAGGCAAATACTGAGTGAGGCATTTCAAGCTGGCAGAGATTTGTTCTGTGCCACTTTTTATTCCTTTCATCATGCCCAGGTTAAATATTATTCAGATTTAGGACAGAGCTGTGCTGTGCATTCAGGCTTTAGAATGAACCCACCAGCCGTTATTCTGACAGAGAAATGGGGTTTGTGACACCAGGTTAAGTTTCCTGGAAAAGTCTGAAATTACTTCTTTAAGAGCTCAGAGTTTTCCCTCCCCTTTGTAAGAAGCAAAGCTACAGCTTATGAGTAAAGGTGCCTTTTTATGGCCCTGATCCTGATCAACAAAATAGCCTTGGGATAATCCCCCAACACCCCAGGCCAAATTGCCCCCCGTGTTCCCCCCCAGCCACGAGTTTAAGGCTGGTGTGACCCCGGGCCGTGGAGCTCACACCGGCATCGGATGAGGAGGTCGCCCTGGGAAAGGGCAATGTAATTTGGAAAAGGAATTACGTTGTTGGGGTTGGTCTCTTCCTCCAAGTCCGAGGAGTTGGAGAGCTCGTCCGTGCTGGAGGGGATGGCTTCAAAATCTTCAAAGGTGTCTAGAGATGGCATCTGCCTGCCGGGCCAGCCTTGTCGAAGGAGAGAAACAAAGAGAGTTAGCTGTCAGCCAGCAGCCTCTTCCCAACTCGGCCTTCTGAAAACAAACATCACAGGTCCACTTCCCACCATTCCACCGACTGAATTGCTTGTACCATTTTACAGCTTGTTCCCTGATTTTCCCATAAAAATTCCATTTCAGCCGTTGTTCTGTCTCTGAAAACCCCTACCACTTGCTGTGGTCCGTGGGAGGGCAGGCTGTGTGGCCGCAGCCTGTGCCCACCAGTACCCTGGGTGTTCAGTGCCACCACGTCTCTTCAGGAGGCACAAAGAGCAAGGACCAGGAGCGTTTCCATGGAGCAATCACTGTGGCAAATAACAGCTTTTGCTGAGGTGACTTCCAGAAGGCTGTGCCCGCTCAGCTCCCAGCTCACCTCCACTCCTTCCTCTGTACATTGAAGTCTGATGCCACTGAATTTTGGTTGATTTATCTCCACCTCACCCCAGGGTGCAAGGACCACCCCAGCACGTTACAAGACCCTGCCCTGGAGCCGCTGGAAGAGCAGGGAAGGGACAGAGTAAACAAGGAGGCACAAAGACAAGCAGACCCTGGGGGCAGGTAGAGAAGAACTCAACACATTTCTGCTGTCAGCAGCCTTATTGCCTGATTTGCACCCAAACCCACCCCAGCTCAGTGGGTGACACCTGATGAGAGACTTCCACCCTGAGCACAAGAGTCCATCTCTTTGCCCACCAAGGCCATGCCCAGATGGTGTCTCCTGAGGGAAATTCCAGCTGTGACCTTCTTTCCCAGCTGTGACCCTGCAGGCACAGCTGGGCCATCCCTGCTCTTCCAGGTGTGAAAAGCCCCGGCTGTGGCATTCCTGTGTGGGGCTGTGAGCGTCCCCACCAAGGTCTGTGGGGCAGGGCTCAGAGCAAAGCAATTTGAGTTCAAATTCACAGGTTGGGCTACAAACACCAAAAAACAAAAAAATTCTATATAAATATATACACACATATATCTATCTCCCTCTCCCCTCCTAGACAAAGCATCACAGATCTTGACCTTCTGGCACTGTCGTTAGTAGGAAGCACCCAAGGGAGAAACCTAAACAGCGAGGATTCCTTACAAACACACACATCAGCCTTCCTCTTCTGTACAAATTGCTATCCTAATTTCAGAGACTAAGAAGTAGCCTGTTTTACACACATAATTCGAGATATAAAGTAACACAGATCAAATTCTGAGCTTTCTGACATCGTTTAAAAGAACTGTTTCCAGCTGTGCCCGACCTCCAGAAGAGCAGCGTCTGGGGCAGGGGTCCTGTACCCACATTGACCCACCCTGGTTCCTTCATTGCTGTCACGGGAAATAATGTTCATTAAAAGAAAAAAAAAAGAATCTCTTAAGTTAAAGAGAGTAAACATTATCGTAGATTTATATTACACTCTCACATTGAGAGGACAAGAGTTTAAATGCCGTTTACCTGTCTGTGAAGCAGATCTAGGGACGGGCCTCGTGGTGGAACCGGTATTACATTTAGTCTGAGCCAAAATGGTGTTCTCAAAAGCATCTGTGACAGGAAGCACAATGTGTGTCCTCAGGGTGAGCAGGGACCCAGCAGAGGGTGGGCTCCCCCATCGCCTCTGCCACGGGGGTCTCTCAGAAACGGGTGGGCAGGGGGGTGACGGGTACAGAGGGGGAGACAGAGGAGAGCACAGAGGAGAGCACAGCCAGCAGCATGCACTGCCCAGAGAAACCAGAGGTGCAGGAGGACAGAGCCCAGCCCGTGGGCAGGGAGGGACAGTGGTGAGAGGCAGGGGAGCAGAGCAGGGCTCTATTTCACTGCAGCTTCCTCACACGGCTTGAATGTGTTTTCCTTGCAGCATTTCAGATCATTCTGTAGGTGATGGGATATGGTTTTGATGCTCTTCTTCCCAGCCAGAAATGAGTAATTTCACCCTCGATGAATGTGATGCAATTTTGTGGGGGAAGCTTTTCTCAGAGCACATCAAATCAGCAGCACCTCCTGGGAAAGGGGTGCCATGTCCACTGCTTCCTGCTCCAATAAACTGGCTTTGGTGAGGGATCTCCTGCAGCAGGACCGTGTTTTTACCCAGCAAGGATCAGCTCAGCTCTGTCCCAGGGACGGTCCTTGCACCCCCCATCCCCACAGCCACACGCTAACGCTGAGATTGGAAGAATCTCTCAGTGAGGAAAGTGAGGATTAAACTCCACAGTTTGGGAAAACTCTGGTGCCGGGTGCCAGGGTGATTCCAAACAGTGCCAGGAGTCATGGGGGGGCAAAATGAAATATGCTGCAAACAGCAAACCTGCTCTTTCCTCTGCTGCCTCTGGCTCGTGCCTGCCAGCCCCGCTGTCCCCAGCTCCTCTGTGGGGACCGACACTGGAGGCAGCTCTGACGTGTCACCGGTTCCACCACACAAACCCAGGGCTTTGGGGAGGTGGCACTGGAGGCTGGGCTCTCCCAGCACCTGGGTAACCCCTTCCTGGGGTTACCTCCTCAGCATCGCCATTAAACAGTAATTGGTGAAGCTGCTGCAACAAACAGGAGGAAATTCTGCTTGGCTGAAATGAAACACTGCACTTTAAATGGATATTAATGCCCAATGGAGCCTGTTCTGCAGTTCTCATGCACAGGGCTCCTGCTTCTCCTGCGGGCAGAGCCACCAACACAGGGGGGTGCAGGTGGCCAGGCTGCAGGGGGGGTCAATAGTAGCCCCTGGGCTCCCGGCTGCTGCGCTCTATGGAGCGAGGGAGAACCCAGGTGGAAAATCCAGATCCCAATCACAGCCTAGAGTGTTCCTCCCCACAACAGGCAGAGAATTGGGGGGTTAATTTGTGCCCATCCCCAGGTGAAAGCTGGTAGACCCAACATGAGTTCATGGACAGGCAAGGGGGTGACAAGCTGTGATTATCATGGATGAACCAACACCAAACCCCCATGGGGCTCCGGTGTCTCCTGCCAGCAGTGATGAGATGGGAATTCAGTGAATAATACCAAAATATTGCCAAACAAGTTTTCATGCAGGATGGAAATACTCATACCTTCAAACCCCAGGGGAGTTGGGTCACTCTTTATTTCATGCCTCTTGACTTTAACTGCAGGAACAAGGGGACCTGTGTGGAATTTGCAGAGGCACAAGGCTGTAAATATTGTTAAAGGAGAAACTTGCTTTCCCATCACCAGGCAACACTGCCTGCCTAATACTTTGTTTTGCCCAGAAAAATGACCAGCCCCTAGGTTCTAGGTGGTGGAGACAAAGACTTCTGTGATGTGGAGAGGAAACGGGCCCCTTTTTGCCAGAGACATTAAACCAGTAAATGCATCTGCTTCTACGAGGTCTCAGTGAGGTTTTCTCTCACTCTTCTCCAGGAGGTGGCACCAAGGCAGACACAAAGCTATGGAGAACCTCCTCTCCTGTGCTGCACCCATCCTTTCCATGTGGTGATGCTCTAGTGCTATGGTCTATGGCAAAGAGCCCTTTGTAGGTAGGGGTGATATCCCACCCTTCCTCTGCCAGCAAACCCCACCAGCTCCCATTTCACAACAGCCTCCTTGCACAGCCAAGGGCACGGCTCATCCTTCACAGCTATTTAGGGAATGCACTCGATACCGTGCAACCTTCTTCCCGAAAAACAGGTAGCAAAGATTTGTATACAAATTAATTCAGCCAGTTTTCATTCTATTTTGGTTTGTGAATTGCCCTGCAAAACGTAAATTTCATTCCAGGAACTGGCAGAAGTCAGAACATTCAGAATTTAGTGTAAGACCATACGTCCTGTTCCCAAAGCCACTCTGACACGTAGGTGCCTGCAGTCCCACTGATTTTCAACACTAACAGCCTGCCTAAATGCATGGCTCGCTCTTAAGTTGAAATGTAGGCACTAGTGCAGTTATCTTTTAACTTTTTTTAAAAGTGCCTTTTCTCAAAATAATTACAGCTCAAAAACATAACTTTCCTAAGTTCCCACACGAACTGCACAGAGCTCAGTGCACCCTGGGCACCCACCTCCCTTACACGTGTCTGAAAATTCCCTTGCAGACGTGATTTCTAATCATAGCGGTGATTATGCTAAACAAGTTTAAAGCTGGCACTATTCCCACTCCATTTTTGGCTTGACTTCAGGCTTTCTTACCACCCTGATGTCTGCTACGTAACGAGGAGACTCCCTCCTCGAAAGCAGTAAATCCTAAACAGCTTTAAGGAAACGGAGAAATAATCTCTAGTGAATTTCGGTTAATCTCAACCAGGGAGAGGTTGGAAACCTCACCCCACATCAGCCAAACAAAAAAATTAATCCTGTTTCCATGGAGTCATAGAATCATAGAATTGCCCAGGCCGGAAGGGACCTCCAAAGGCCATCTAGTCCCACCTCCCCGCAGTCAGCAGGGACACCCCCAACTAGACCAGGTTGCCCAGGGCCTCGTCGAGCCTCACCTTGAATATCTCCAGGGAAGGGGCCTCAACCACCTCCCTGGGCAACCTGTTCCAGTGCTCCACCACCCTCACAGTGAAGAACCCTCTCCTCATCTCCAGTCTAAATCTGTTCCCCTCCAGCTTGAAGCCATTTCCCCTCGTCCTGTCACTGCAGCCCTTTCTAAACAGGCTCTCCCCAGCCTTCCTGTAGGCTCCCTTCAGGTACTGGAAGGCCGCTATTAGGTCTCCCCGGAGCCTCCTCTTCTCCAGGCTGAACAACCCCAGCTCCCTCAGCCTGTCCTCGTAGCAGAGGTGCTCCATCCCCCTGAGCATCCTCGTGGCCCTCCTCTGGACCCGCTCCATCAGGTCCATGTCCTTCTTATATTGAGGGCTCCAGACCTGCACACAATACTCCAGGTGAGGTCTCACCAGAGCAAAGTGTAAGAATTACCTCTCTGGACCTGCTGGCAACGCATCTTTTGATGCAGCCCAGGATGCGATTGGCCTTCTGGGCTGCAACTGCCCACTGCCTGCTCCACAACCAGCCCCACTTTCCAAAGCCTGTCCTGGGGACACCGGGCAGAGTCACCGTATCTCCCCCAGCACACGGTCAGGATGCCTTGCCCTGCCTCCCGCCGGCGGTACGCGGGTCCGGACCCTTTTCCTACTGGATCCTCCTGCCTTCATAGGAATGGAGGCTGCTGTGGTCCCTCTGTGGGGAGCAGAGGAGCCAGGGGGCAGGGGGAGCAGGGCACCAAGCAAGCGGCGCGACGGTACCTTTGGTGCCAGCGGAGGCGTTAGCTGCAGAGCTGATGGAGGAGGCAAGGGAAAAGCGACGGGTGACTTCTCTCTCCTTACACTCCGGATCTGGGAGGACAGACAGACGCAAGGCAGGGCAGGGTTAGAGGTCAGTAAGCACTGGGGTAAGAGGTGTCCAAAGCAAAGCGGCAGCTGGAAAAGGGTAAGTAAAAGGTAGGTTGCTCCTCTTAAGCAGCCAGGAAAAATACCCTCAACAACGCGAACAGCACATAAGAGGGGTTAATATGGACACGTTTTTTCCAAAGCAATTCCAATTCCACCAGTTTTAATACTTTAGAAGGGAGAATTATGCCAATTAATATTTTAGCAACCAACTAGTTTTAAGTACAGCTACAAACACAGAGATGAGCACGATGGTCAGAATGGGGGGTGTGTGTCTACAGATGAGGTCTGGATTATTCTGGACACCGAACTGCTTGTTCTGTGGTGAATGACCCGAAATACACTGAAAAACACACATGAATGGTTTGGAGTTCACATTTGTCATTTCTAGAAGTTAACTGTGTGAATGCCTGAGAACGTCCTCTGAGCCCCATCCCCACTGGTGCCTCTGCTCGGGAGTGAAGACACAACTCCCCCAGGTTTCACCAGGAGGTGTGAGCAGCATTTTTGACCCAAAAGGTTTTGTAAACAGCCCAGAGGTGTAAGTGGACTAACTGGCTTTAAAGAGATGCTCAGGAGATGGTGTGTGCACATCCACAGACCCATCAGTTCAGGTCTTGCACCCACCACCCACAGCAGCACCACTCGGGAGAAAATCTTGCTCGATTACAAATATTTCCGAATTTACTTTTTACTCTCTTCTGCTGAAACCACTCTAAGCTCCTGTGCTGCATTCCTCAGGCGAGTGTCTCCACTGATGAGCGAGTGAAGCTGCTCACACGCTCCACAGCTGCCTTTCAGCAGGAGACTTTGAAGAGTTCACTCCCTCAGCTGAGTGTGAGAAATGGCTGGAAACATTCTGCTGGTTTTCAGGTTTGTTAAAAAAATATTTGCGATTTTCATGTTTTGATTTTTAAAAACAGTAAAGAAATATTTACATAAAAATTAAATACTTGTTTCTATTTTCCCTGAAAAGCCGTGACACTGGGATAGGTGGAGACATTTCACACGTGCTCTGCGCTTTGCTGAATCTGCCCAGACATCCCCAGATGGTGCCTGTGACTCAGAGGGGCTTCATCCCAATCATCTCCTTTCTCTTATCATGTCTGTCTTTTCTCTCTCATTTATGTTTTTCCATGGTTAACTGGCATACAGCACTGCAGTAAAATAACTTTCAGGTGATTTTATATTTCAGGTTTAAATACCCCGTGCAGAACCATACTACTGTGAAGATTTCCCTGCCAGGGATCTTAAATACTCTTTCCTGTTCCTCATCTTCACATTTCCTTATTTTAATGTTCTGTCACACAACATTTCTCTTTACTTTGGTTTTTTTTTCCCATGTTTCTTCCTAGTAAATGTCACATTCACTGCAAGTTTCCAGTGGAGCAGAAATCAGTGTGTCTGCTTCAACTGCAATTCCTGCAATGTTTTATTTTGCCAAAACATCAGCAAACTACATTAGCTCCTTAACATCTCCCTGCAATTTTAACTGTACTTTGGCCGCTGTAAAAAGACTGTAAATTCTGTACCTGCCAACACACTTCCTTATTGAATTATCCTGAAAGCACATATATTCAAGTACATCCTTACTCACACCTCCTGAAAGGCTGAAGGAAAAGGAGAGGTTAAACGCTGCCCTCGGTGACCCCACATCTAAGGCTGCTGTAACTGCCCTTGTTAAAAGACAAGGAAAATTTCACTTTATAGTGACAGTGTTGGGCTACATTACACCAGGTCACGCAGCTCTTGGGGCCCCTGTGCCAGCCTGAGGAACGTGAGCTGGGCTCCACAAACCAGGCCTGCCCCAAGGCTGGGGGGGATGTGGAGTGGTGGCTTTCCCACTCCTGGGTGCTGGCCCTGGGGTCTCTGCTGGGTGGAGTGCAGGCTGGTCAAGTGTCTCCTCCAGACATCAGCAGCTCCTTGGCCAAAACACCAAGGTGCTCACAGACAAGGTTTTCTACCCCGTCGCACCCAGTTCAGCCATGCTTTGAGCATCCGTGCTCCACTGCCAGTTGGTACCACCAGGCAATCCTGCTTTGCCCCTAGTTAGCTTTTGTTATCTCATTGTTTAAACCTTCCCTCTGAGGTGTTCTGGGCATGAACAGACACGATGGGTCTGGGCAAAGCACGCTCAGCTCCATACACCATCTCCTGCCATAGCCAGTAATGAACCCTTAAAGACAGGGGTTGAGTGGGACAAGCTCTTCCTGCAGGAGCTCCCTGCTAAGGTCTCACAGCTCCTGAACCAGCCCATGGAGTGCTCACACGGCTTTGGGGAGTCACTGCCTACAGAAACCACCACACTCTGCATCCAGCCCCTTTCCCAACTGGTGTCCTCCAGGCCAGGACCCGACTGGCAACTGAACCACACAAGAAAGCAAAGAGGGGCCTGGTGTAAGGGAGGAGCTTCTCGGGAACCTCCTCAGCACCAGCACGTCTTTGAGCTGAGAGTGCCCACAGCTGGGTGGTTACGAACTCTCCTCAACTGCACTTTGCCATCTGGAGCACGGAATCACTGAATAAAACACAAGATATTTCACACGACAACAAAAATTCAGCTAGAAGAGCAAGAGAGGCCCAAACCAAAACTGCAGATCCAAACTCGCCTGAATGACTGCTTTTCCAAAATCTGTGTTTTGCAATTAATTTCCCCAAGTCACAGGGCCTGAGATCCGCTCCATTTTGTGTGTTCAGAACATGGAACTGGTTCTCCATCTTAGATCTTACCACCAAGTGCAGCCTGAGCCTTGCAGCCAGAATCTTACGGCTGCACTGGCCTTTGGTGTGTTCTCATCTGCTTTATAACTTCGTAATTGTTATTCTTTCATCTTGCTGCTTCCTCCTTTGATGCTCACCGTCTCCATCACTGCACACTAACCCTTTGCCTCACAGAAGAAATAGCATTTATCAGAACAGGAGAAAAGCCGTGACAATAAAAATAGTAATGACATTATCTTTTCAGAAAGTAATCGCAAATAGTCATTTGATTTCCTTTCTGTTCACATTTCTTCCTTTCCTCTAAAGCCTCTTCCTTGTGCAGCCATCACAGGAACACGCCATGCTCTCTGCTCATGGATTTTAAGTGCCTTCTAAACATGCACAGAGACTCAGAACACACTGTTTTACAGTGCCATATAACACAATGAAGTAGAAATGGCAATAAACCCCCGACCTTCCCGATTCCAGTTCCTCAGGGTAACCACTAGCCCATGACAGAGCAACATGTTTAAAAAGGGAGGTCCAACCAACAAACAGTTCAGCACATAAATGTCGTGTAGCACAACACACCGATACTCATCCCTTCAAGCCAGTAGAATTGCTGAAAGAAGTTAGGTGGGTGGATTAAAACACGTTCACGCTTTGGCCCTTCAGAGAAACTGGAAATAAACGTTATTTGCACTCCAAGGCTCCTTCCAAGGTGGCTGGGAAAGGGCCCTTTGGGAGGGAGACGCGGGTGGGTGTCAGAGGGGAGCACGGGGGGAGCTGCGGCAGCGCTGTAGGAACCGGTGATGGATGGCACCATGGGATGGAGGGAGGACCGTGCAGGAGACAGATGGGCAGAGACCAAATGCAGAGACCAAATGCTGCGAGGGGTGGTTTTACCTTTGGGTGGAGCTCTGCGGTTGGAAAGACCTTGCAATGTGAACCGCTTTCGAGCAAGCGCTGTGCGCTCAAGGTTAAGGCTGGTGGAAGCATCAACTAGGAGAGAGAGGGAGAGGGGAGAGAAACAAGGAAGGAAGGGTCAGCTGTTCAGCTCGTGGGAAAGGAGAGGTTAGCACCGGATGACAACTCAAAATAAATAAATAAACAAATAGATTTTGATTCAGTTCCAGCCTGAGCAAGAGCTAATCAATCAGAAAGGTGGCATGAGGTCAGAGTGATTAAACCAAGCTGAGCCAAAGGCAGCCCCTGGGCTGAGTTTGGCCGAGTTTTAATGGCGAACAGCAGCAAAACAAAACCAAAGAGAAACAGGCAAAGGGGTGTAGGTCTCATCAAAGGAAAATACAGTTTAGCAGCAAGCTCCTTAAAAGGGATCTAGCGCCTTTTACTATGAAAGCACACCGTTGTGGTTGGAACAGCAAGGTTGCAGGGAGAACAGGAGGAGGTGGACTTAGAGGGAAGCCCCAGATCCACGTATTCCTGCCAAATTCAGCATCTGCCCGTCTTTGTGTGGGCAGGGAACACACAGACCCTTACGGCAAAGGAGCAGGAGAAAAGCCATGGGGTGGATGGCTGGTTCTGTGCCTCGGGACTTAACCACCACCTGGCTCCTCCTCTTCATTTCATGCACTGCCAGGTGGAAATCATCAAGGGCACAAAGGAGGACCAGAGGTAGGAAGGGAAGATGAAGGGACAGTGAATCCACACGTGGCAGAGAAGCAGACAGCCAGCCAAGCTGTGCTTCCGAAGGGCAGTGCATCCCATCCCATCCTGATTCCTGACAGCCCCGGTGCCGCGGGAGGTGGGGGTCAGACCCACAGATCTAACAACACAGAAACATTACACCCATGTGGGTCACCTCCTTCCACCCGGTGGCCCAATGCCATCTCTGGGCCAGGCAGGTGGATCTGGTGAGGAACCCAGCGGTGGCTCCAGCCATGGGGCTGCCCACGGGTGCCCTGGGGAGTGTTTCGGGCTTGCAGACTGCCTTGTTGGCCTGGGAACCATTCCCTGCCCTGGAAGGTGCCTCTGATGACATGTTGTCTCCACCTCAGTTACTTCAAACCCTTTGCTTTGTTCTAATAGTCCTGGAATCCATCTCCAGACACAATTACGGTCTAGGTCCTGATGGGCAACAGGCTGAACATGAGCCATGACCCCACTTGTGCCTCGCCAGCAGGTCTGGGGGGTGATGATTCCCCCTTGCTCAGCAGAAGGGAGACACCCCTGGAGTGCTGTGTCCTGTCCCAGCCCCCCCAGCACAAGAGGGACACGGACATCCTGAGCGAGTCCAGCGAGAGGCCGTGGAGATGGTGAAGGGATTTGCAGGAGCTCGTGTCCAGGAGACACGAGGAGGGAGTGAGACCTGGGACTGTTCATCCTGGAGAGGAGAAGGCTCAGGGGGATCCTGTCAATGTGTATACATTCCTGGTGGGGGCAAGTAAAGAAGCTGGAGCCAGAGGCTTCTCACTGGAGCAGGGTGACAGGGCAGGAGGCAATGGGCACCAATGGAAAGATCATGGAATTGTCAGAGTTGGAAGGGACCTGTAGAGACCATCCAGTCCAACCCCCCTGCCAAAGCAGGGTTGCCCAGAGCACATCACTCAGGCGCGTCCAGGCGGGGCGTGAAGATCTCCAGAGAAGTGGACTCCCTGGGCAGCCTCTGCCAGGGCTCCATCACTCTCACCGTAGAGAAGTTTTTCCTCATATTTGAATGGAATTTCCTATGTTCCAGCTTGAGATGGGAAATTCCATTCTAAAACAGTAAAAAAACCTTATTTTTCCTGTGAAGGTGGTTAAAGCCTGGGACAGCGTCCCCAAGGCCCTTATTTTTCCTGTGAAGGTGGTTAAAGCCCAGGACAGCATCCCCAAGGCAGTTGTGGAGTCTCCACCCTTGGAGACATTCAGAGCCCAAGAGGACATGGCTGTTGTGGAGTCTCCACCCTTGGAGATATTCAGAGCCCAAGAGGACATGGCCCTGGGCAACTTACTGCCACTGGCTTGAGCCAGGCCATCAGCCCTGGGGTCTCGGGGGTCCCAGAGGACTCAGCACCCCCATACTGTCAGTGAATCTGCCCATCAGGTCCGCACAGAGCTCGGTTTATATGTAGGTAACTCCAGCACAGGCACTTACCACACAAATAATGACCCGAAATAGCTTGTCACAGTGCCCTCCCCCTCTGCACTACAGAAAAAACCCCAGTATTTTAGAATAACCCGTGTTGACGTTGGCTGCAGGGCCGTGGGGACAGTCACTGTCAGCAGGTGGCACAAGAAGGACAGCTCTGGCAGAGCCCCATCCCACTGAGAACCCGTAACCTTCTCTCCAGAACAAAAACTTATTGCAATGAAAAAAATCTTCTGGTGAATAGCTTATTTAAAAAAAAAAAAAAAAATTCCACTTTTTTTTTTTTTTCTAACCATCTCTATTTATAAAGGTGCCTGCTGTCACTTTAACCCTCCTTTGGAATTTAATCTCCTAAAACTTCACGATTTTCCTTTTTATATTATTAGAAAAGTCTTTGCTCTCACATTTCAAAATACTCCCGAAAAAAGAAACTGCTGCTGAAAGATTTTTCTGTTCCTGCTGCTGCCAGGTGAGCTCCAGTTTCTTTTCAGTGTTCATTTTAACCTACTTTGTAAAGACTATATCTATTGCATTTGAGCCTTTTTAAGTAACAGAGGGTTTCTGTGACCGCCTGTGCGTTTATTTACTAAACACTAGAGGGAACCCATACACCCAGGTGGAAAAAAAATCTCTGACATAAAGCAAGGAAATCAGTTAAAGTCCACAGACAGTCTTAAAATTAAATATGGTTAGAAACCAATTTAGCCGGGACACAGAAGGTTAAAATACGAATTCTATTGCCCTCCAAATTCTAATTTAAAAAAAAAAAAACACAAGCTGTACAAAGAGTGCTGTGATGCATCAAAACTCTGACTGAAAAAATCCAAATCTGGTAACACCTCCTGGTGTTCGGGAAGTTTCATGGGACAGTCCCTCAACTCTGCAGCACTGCTTTTTTTTGATGCTGGGTTTAAACAACACACATTTAAAGTATCAAGCTCCATCAAACTCCAGAAATGAGCACGCAAAAATAAAAATATTACCCTTTGGAAGCGAAAATCTGTGTCTCAGAGCTCCTACCTCTCTTTTGTCTGGCGCTGGGACTGGAATTCCTGTTTTTGTTGTTAGATGCTTCCACGTTTGATGTCTCGGACTTGTTTTCATACAGACTCGATGACTTCCTGCTATACCTTGGGACAAAAGAGATGCAGAAATAAGTTATATTCCTGCTTAAGACTAAGGAATAAAGGGCAGGTTTTAAAATCCCTGTGCTATAAAGTCTGCCTCCGTGCAGGCAGATGGTGGGAAAAGCCCTTCCAGCCCCTGCCCCTTCCCACAGCCCACAGCCAGGGACAGGCTGAGCCAGAGCAGACAAGGGGAGAACAGGAGCACGCTGTCTGTCTGTCTGTCTGCACAGGATCTTTGTGGGAGCCCAACAGATTTGGGAGGGAGGAGTGGGAAACCAGGTTAGGAAAGAGGAGCCCAGTTTTCCATCCTTGGCAGCGTAAGTACGTTTGACTCCAGGAGAGAAGCGGGTCCTGGGTGGTCACACAGAGGAACACATGGATGCCACTGGCTCCAGGATCCCCCAGCTTCTGTTTCTTCTGCTCCTTGGAAACATGAATCCAAGCCGTACCTCATTGTAAAGCCAAACGAAATTAAAAGGGACACAGAATATAATGCCCTCTCAGCCCCAGGGACTGATGGCAATGCCCCACAAAGAGCCATAAGGCACCTTCTCACCTGGGCAGAGCTGCTGCACGACAGCAGGAAAGGTGGGTGAGAAATGGGACGGGATGGTGTGTCCGGAGGAACAGGAACTACAGGTGGAAGCGTCAGACGGGCTAAGGAACCATCCCAGAGTGGCTCTTGGGACCCGAGCCCCACTGATGGACGGTGGAGGATCCGGGATGAAGGCAATGGCTTGTGGAGCCGAGCCCTGGCAGAGGGGGTTCCCGGAGCTGCTCTTCAGAGACATCCACTGCAGTTATTTTAAGCTCCATGGAAGCTTTTCAAAAGCGAGACCAGGCACTGTCACCTGCTACTGCTCCCTCTCAATTGGCCCTGAGAGACTTCCCAAGGCTTCTTTTCCTCCACAAAAGGAACTGAAGGAATTGCAGGAACAGAAACCAAAAACCAGGTAGACCCCAGGTGGCTGCTGGGGCTGCCTGTCTGGAAATTCCTTGTTTCCCAGTGGCTAAGGTAGCGCAACAATTCCACCAGACACCCTCAGGAAAACAGAACAGTTGCAGACACCCCAATCTAGGAAAGATTTACACCAGCTCATGGGTGCTTTAGGTACTGGAGGAAAAATGTACTTGGATTTTCTGTCGCTTTTGTGAAAGAGAAAACCATGGAAACGGCACCCAGAAGACGAAGATGCAGCAAACCTTCACACAGGAATTAAAACCATCAACCACTGGGGTAAGCTCACCCCCAGGACTCCATTACAGCAGAATGGGATTTTGCAGAACACGGTATTTATTATAATCTATTCCAAACTGGCCCTGACAGAGCAAAGAGACCCTCACTATTCAGCTGTACTGCATTTGAAGAGACAGAACTGAGACACTCTGAGTGGGGAAAGGGACTATCTTCGGTCCGAGGAGTTAAACAAGTTGAGCCACTCCAGGGTAACCGTTCCGGAAAAACCCCAGCAAGACTTGTATTGTTTTCCCTTTCCAGGAATGATCCCGGGATGGACACTAACACCCCTCTGCTGGAGACCAGGTCAGCCACGGAGGGTTGCTCATCCTCCCAGGAGCAATCAGCATACACCAAATTTGGCTTATATACCAACAATCCTGACACACGGGGTGGAGCCGCTCACCTCCTTTAATTGTGCTAATTAATATGGTAACTGCACCATAGGTGTTTGTGAGCTGTGGGTACAATCTACCATAACAGCAATTATAACTTAGGTTAAACTTGCCCAGCAATCGGGTCATTACAAAAACCTGCTGACAGCTCCAGTTAATGTCCTGGAAACATTCCAACACAGTTTGTCTACACCTGAGTCAATCCAGAGCTCGTGATCCTTTTGCAAAACCAAACTATCACCTTTGAAATGAGTTCTGCAGCGTGATTTCAGTTTCCCCGTGAGCAAAACCTTCAGCTGCATTTCCATGTCTTCAAAGAATTTGAAGACAATTGCAGAAGTTCATACCCAGGAAGCCAAACACATAAAATAAGAGTTTGTGCACTGCAAAAGCACAAAGGCAGGAGGAAACACGGCCCTGATGTGCCACGATGGCCGTTACCTGCTTGGGTTGGAGGAGTCCATAGGTGCGTGGTATACGCTCTCGGTGATCCTTTGGTGCAGTTGACTTGCTTCTGTTAAAGTAAAGAGAAATTACTCCAAACTGTGTAAGTCTCTTCCTTGTTTGCCCAGAAGGTGGGAGAGAGAGAGAACCAGGAGAAGAGAGATTTTGACTGCTGCTGCAATCAGAACGGAATACACCCACTTGGAGAGAAAGGCATATGTTAATCTTAAAGGCTGAAAATTCACCCAAACAGCTCTTCTACCCCTATTTTTTCAGTGTAGGAGACTTCTCCCCCTGCCACCTTCTCTTTCCTCTATACTTCTTCCTACCTCACCGCACAATATGGATCTAGAGAATGGACACATTGGTGTTTTTCCCAGAACCCAAGTCTTGTGGCTCACAGCTTTGTCTGGATTTATCAACACGTATCCACCAGTCCTTTTGCAGTAGAATATCTCCCCGACCCTCTAGGAAATGCTTTTGCTCAGCATCCTGGACAAGCAGCAATAATAAAGTGTTATTGAGATGCCACTTGTTCGCTCGTTTTGCAGTAACTGCCGAGTGGGAAGGGGGGTTAGAAAGATGCTGACAACTGGGGTTTGAGGGCCAGGAGAGTCAGACACTGAGGATTAGGGAGCAATGGAAAGGGCTGCTTTCAAACTCTCAGCTTCCTGAGATCCTAAGGTATTTCACTCTGGAAGAAGCAGCAGCTCTTGACAATGAAAGGCAAACAGACAAAGAGATCCTAAGGTATTTCACTCTGGAAGAAGAAGAAGCTCTTGCCAACGAAAGGCGAACAGACAAAGGGACCAGGGGAGCACTGAAAGATTAAACCTAAAGTCTTTTGTGGGCAGGAATGCTGGGATAAAGGAGCAACCTGGGTGGGGATTCGGAAGTAGCTCCATTCCTGGTTTTGGCCACTGATTCACAGCCTCACAGAAATCCCTTAAGCTGTGCCCCTAATTCCTTTGCCAGCAAGAGACTATTCTGCTCTTCGGGATGGTGGGATCAAGGTGTCACCCAAAGCCTCATCAGCATTCCATGCTCTCTGCAGTATGGGAGAGGGGCTGTATGTGATAAATAGTTTAACATATGGTCATTAGTGTCCAATGACCCATATGTTAAACTATTTATCACATACCTTTAGCCACCTTCTTTGCCCTTTACTCACTCATTCACCTCAGCTGGTTCCTTCCAACATTCCAACCCCCTGTGCAACTCCCAACAACAGTCATTAAAAACAGCCCAGACAAACAAACACATCCCTCATCCTTCTTTCATTACAACATGCAGTGGGAGAAATATCCACTCTTGGATTAAGCATGAATTAAGGCCTCTTTTCTCATGAGTCATTGGAAATAGAAACAACTGTTTAAAACCACAGGACAAGGCATCTGCTTCCTGCCTTCAGTATTGTAATAAGGGCTTTGACCCATGTTACCACTTGGGAAAAGGCAGTGGGAAGAGTTGGAACAGCATTTAAGATACAATTTCTGCCCTCTGACTGCCCTTCTGCTGGTTTCACAATGAAGGAAAGCTGGACTGTGCTCAGAGGGAGGTGAAAGTCATCCTCGGACATTCTCAAGACCAGGCTGGATAAAGTCTTGGGTAAACTGGTTTGACCAATAACTGACTGTTCTTTGAGCGGGACATTGGACTGTGAGGTCCTGAGGGGTCCCATGAAACCCAAAATATTCTAGGATCCTGTGATCTTAAGACAAAACAACGAATAATATCAAAATATAAATGTTTTTTAAAACTTTCAGTCTTGATTCCTGCATAGCTTTCTCTGGAAAATACGTAGCAACTCAAGCATATAGGTCTTGTGTGCTACAAAGATCTCAAAAATGCTCACCTGGTGACACACAAGCATCATTTTCCTTGCCTAGAAGCACACACGGCACGACACATTAGCACCGTCCTATTAAATACATACATTTTGTCCATAAGCTCCTCTGCTCTTCTGTGGCAGTCCAAGTAAAGCCAGCTCTCCTACTTCAGAAGTAAATACTACAAACCCTATCAGAGAGTCCCTAGATCAAGTCCTGAAACTGCGCTGGTAAGAATCTTGGGTTCTTTCCTCAGCAGTTCCCTCTGAACTGGCCAAGGTGAAATTCAGATTAAAAAGGAGAAAGGATGAAGACAAGAATAGCAACAGAAGACCTGAGGAGTAAGCACTGTAAATAAGCATATTGTTATGGGTTGGATTAAATTGCTAATGTGCGTAGCTGTTCCCCTCTGCTTTAGGAGGCTGTAAGAACTCATTGTCTGTGTGAAACAGACAATTAAAATAAAGGTGACCTCTAAAGTTAAAGCACAGGCACAGATTTCCTCCCAGGACTAAGTCTGCTCAGGAATCCGAAGGAGGTGGGTGGAGAGGCTTTACTGGCAGTGCTTTAAAGGGAGGTGTGTGTATGGGGAAGCAGAAAACAACAGGTCAAGGTGAGAAGCAATGCCAGGGCCCAGAAAACGTCTATATGGGACACAGCTGCAGGGTTTTGTCCTAAGAAACCCTGAAAAATGGCTTCTAGGACTCTGTACATTCTTGTTCATAAACAGAATAGTATCTCAGACAGCTTCCATCACTACAGTCTCTCACTACCTGGAATAACCCAACTGAATTCTGTCTGCCTTGGGTTCAAAACCCTCTGTAAGAAAGAGTGTCATTATTTTAGGTCCACATGAGGCTTCAGTCATTCACACGTTGAACACATCACAAATCACCTTCAAAGTGACATCTCTGTGAGAGGGAAGTGTCATTAATCATGTTTTACAGGGAGCTCAGTCAGACAAAAAAAAAGGGATAACTGACTGACAGTGATCTAAAACATAAGGCCAGTGACTAGATTTAAAATAAAAACCCTCAAAACCCAACACAGCAAAACAAACGATAGGATGGAGAGGGAGAGTTGCTGTGTCTGGTCATGTATGTGGAAGGAGCTCTCTCATGTCAGAGCCTGTCCCAGCTCCACGTTGTCACACACAGCTACACAAGGAAGGCAACGTTACCACGACGGGCTCTGTGTCCTACCTCTACACGCTTCCAGTTGTCCTGTCAGGACTTTGCGAATCTCTGAAATCCAGGTGTTCTTCAGCTCAACAGAAGATGCCTGAGAACACAATGGGAGAGCAGACCCGGTTAAAATGTGCTGCCACTCACCTGCCTGCCCTGACCCGTGTTTGTTCTCAATTTTCCCAAGGACTGGAACACTGTGGCCAACTCCGAGCAAAGCAGAGGACGCTCTTCAAGGTGGAAAAGCTCCCATAGATCTAAGGTCCTGCCCTTGCTTTTCTGTCCAGTTTCCAAGTAATTTCCCACTACCTTGTCTCCACTTTTACCCAAAATTATGACCATTTTCACAATGACAAATTGGTAATTTAAGTGCCAACACAACAGTGAAGCTTCCAATGGTTCTTGTTTCTTGAATGTACAGGACAGTGAAAGTCATGAAACTGAAAACATTCTTAAAAACAATTCAATTGAAAGGAAGTATAGTCCTTGGGAAAAAAAGGATTGTGGTTACCTGAATGATATAGACCTCTTCTCTGCCATTATACCAGATCTCAAATTTCTTGTTATCCCCTTTTACATTTTCTGTAATGCCCACAGTGCTCATCTGTTCAAAAAAGAAAAGAAGCAGCTGGAATCTGGAAAATGCCAACAGTCTTTAAACTTTTTATCCTCTGAGAAGTGTTTTTAAAAGGCTGCATTCACTTCTGCACCTTCAGGAGTTGTTAAAAATAAAATTTAGGCTGGAGAGGAAGTGGGATGGAATGGAGCTTTGTGAGATTTAATGACTCATCTGTAACTCCAGACAACACAAAAAATTCAATACAGTTTCAGGAAAATTAAAAAAAGAAGTGAGCAAGGAGCTAAGTGCCTAACTAGGCAAGATGGACAAGGAACTGAAGGAAATAATTCTAGATTCTGAAATGACAGATTCTTAACCACAATTTTGCTGCTACTATACTTACCAGCTTCCCATCTTCTACCTATATTTGTTCATCCCCCTTGTTCTGATTTGCCTCAGCACTAGATCTGAAGATTTAAACAGCTAATTCATCATTTCTGCTATCTCCACAGGAAGAAACTTCTTATATGAATTGGTTCACTCCTTGCACCAGGTTCTATTACAATTCCTGCCTGGGTACCCTGTACTAAGCTGGCAGAGTTACACTTGATGACCCACGTGAGTTGTCTGAAGTGTCACACCAATGTGCTAAAAGGGAAAATTTGGCCACTTTGTGAATCTCACCTTAACAGGAAACGTCCTGACTCGTATCTGGAAATGTCACTCTTGCAAATAAAAGGGCACTTGTACTGCACTGTGATTTACCAGCAGCTCCCACAGCCATAGAAGATACCTGCTCAACTCTGCTAATGGTAAAACCCACAATGGAGCTGAACTTGGAGGGTGCTTATAGGCAGAGCAACAAGAGACACGGGTCCATTCACTCCTGCTTCCCTTTATGGGACACTGGGCAAGAACACACAAGGTGCCCCTTGGTATCAAGCTGCAAAGCCAAGGTTCACACCTGGAGCTGCAGGACATATGGCTGGGTCTGTCTCCAGATCAAAATTAAAGGGGACCTTTCATTTACTCAGGGGTGTGAGACAGCTCCAGACACGTGTACCTTCTTCAAGTCTCCACATGGAAATATCCCTGTGATGTGAGAACACCAGATTTACTTTTCTCCCTCTGCCATTACCACATTTATTACCTTTAAAGAATTTTTAAAGCTGTATGAAGCTGTCTTCTCATGTCCGTCTGTGTTCTCCTCCCGTTTCTTGCAGAAAAGTAGCATCTTTGTGTAGAGGAAGAGGTGTCTCTGCATGGGTTTGAACCTAGCCAAGTCCTTCACTTTGTTGTGCCCCTTCTTGTGGTCAGTCCACACGTTGAAGGAACCTTGCATCAACAACTTGCCAAGCTCACCAACGTCCCCCTGGCACACAAGGAACAGAGAGAGCCCACATCACGTTCCAGCCTGGGTAATCCCAGGCACAGCTCTTTCCCCAGGAGGTGTTTAAGCTCCTGAGCATGGGCACATGCTGAGCCATCCCTTGTGTTGGAGAGTGGAGCTGTTACAGTTGGAATCCCTTCTCAACTGTCTCCTTGCTAAACCTGTGTGGTTTCTTCAGGTAACCATTAACCCACTGTTTGCCATGTCCCTAATTCCCAATTTGTCTCCCCACTCATAGATAGTGTCTGAGGTCTGTCTCAGGACCTTGTTGGATCCGACACCCCCAGCTATCCCCTCCGATGTCCTCAGAAGAAGCACCTTCTGACAAGAATGGGGATTCCAGACTCCTGACCCCAAGGCAGTGTGGAGGCCAGTGCAGCCCAGACACCTGAGCAAAGGCCTTGGCTCTAAAGCTCTGGGTTTGGTTTCTGCTCTGCTAAGAGCTGCTGCTGGCCCTGGGCAAGATCTTGAATGATGCTTAGATGTCTGAAGACACACACTGGTCCCTAACTCTCTCAAATTGCAAAATAGTCTTTAAAAGCTTTGTCAATAGTCTCTCGGCTCACCATCGGCAAAGGATGCAATGCTCGCAATACTATGTTCTAAAGGGAATTTACTTTAAATGGAGAAATTGATCACTATCTCAAATATAATTATTCTCTGTTGGAACAGTGCACTGTATCTCATGTTTATGGGCAGTGAGAGACACCTGTGAACAGCTTAGGTGCTGCATAACTCACAGACAAACTGCCCAGGCCAGACTGTATGCAGATGTTAGGGTGATAGCAGGGAACATATCTGAAACATCTTCTCTCCAAGCTTTACTCTACTTTTTTTTTTTTTTTATTTTTTTTTTTTTTGGGCTTTGCCTAAAAAAAAAAAAAAAAAAACCAACCAACCCAACCCAATTACACGAGAATGGGTTCCTGAACGGCGTTTGGTGTTAAACCTGTTATTTTGGGACATTGTCCCCATGCTTTACTCTATTTTTTTTTTTTTTTTTCTTTTTTTTTTTTTGTGGCTTTGCCTAAAAATAAAAACAAACAAACCAACCAGCCCAACCCCAAACTGACATATTAGCAATTTCATACACAAGAGCTGAGCTCCTCAAGCCTGCAGGTGCACAGGTCCAAGCAGCAGAATATCCCATGCAATTAGGAGCCTTCACCAGCTGCCACAAAACCTGCTTTTCTGCTGGTGTAACATCCTTCTCTGAAAGGCGTTCTAGCCAAGATTTCCTACCATGCCTGTGTGGGAAAGGCTCCCCAGGATGGGGTGCGGTTTCATGAGCTAAGGGAGGTGTTTCTTTGGCATCACAACCGAGGACCTGGGACAGGTGGAACGGGGAGAAGAAATTATTGGGTTCGTCCTCTTTCACACTTTCACCCCATTTAATAATCACGTAAGAAACCATCTCAGGAAAGCTGTCAGCGTGGGGCTCCACAGCAGCTGTGTTCCACTCCGTCATGGCTTTCGGCTCAGCTAACAAAGCACAGACAAGAGTCTACTCCTTGGAGCTACTACCTGGCATTTTGTGGGAGGCCGGCAAATTCAAGAATAGAGGGTGAAAGGGAACAGGAATGCCCTGGTGAATTCCTGAGTACAGAACTACCCTGAGATTTGAAAGTACGGAATAGGCAAAAGGATGAGCTCAACTCCATCCTGCGAAACACAGAGTGACTCTTCCCACCCAGACCCCAGCACTGCCTCGGGAAGTCACATCCCACACAAAATACTCTTTTCCTGGTGTCCAGTCCTGTTTCTCTGACCTAGTATTTCTTCAAACCTTCTTAGTGCATTATTTTTTCCTTGACATTTTCACCCTGCAGCTATTTCAAAATGGGCAACCCCATCGCCCTCAGGCCTCATCTTGCCAGGGGAGTTTCTCCCTTATGCATCAATCACTTCTCCTTCTCCCTTCAGGGCTCATTTTATGTCAGCATCACTGCTTCTCAGAAGTCATATGACTTCAGTGGAGCTTCAGTAGAGAGATACATACGTTTGTGGCCTTTGATGTGGTTGTTATTTCACGTTTCAGATGTTGTGTTTGCCACTCACTGGGGTGGATTCTATTACCCACTTTAAATGGAAGCCACATTTTCCACCCTAGGTGTTCCGAAGCTGTTTGCACCTGAGTTGCACAGCCATCCCAAAGTTTCAGCCAACTTCTGTGTCTGTCACACTCACTACCTGCTGCCTACAGAGTTTTGGGTGTGATTACTCAGAAGGGCTGCATTTGTCCCACTTCCTCCCCACATCCACACCCCCACGGGACCTGTATCGTGACACATATTTGTGGTCACCACGACGTGTCATGGAGTGGCATCCTTCAAGAACATGGCACGGGCTCTGGCAAAGCATACCAGCCACGGGCACGGGTGATGGAAGGAGCATGGGATGGGTCACCACCAGCAGCAAACACTACCTCGTATCCTGTGATGGCTATCTGGTGCATGGAGTCGTTCACGGACTTGATGATATCAAGCATCGTGGCCAGGGCTTCTTCCAGCTCAGCAGTACCCTCCGAATTCTTGCTGCACTTCAGCATTTCCTGGTTTAAAAAAGAAAGTTACTTGAAAACTTCTTATACCAGAAGCCATTATATGACAATCCTGAAATTTCCCCTGCAGAGACAAAGTAACAGGACTATAAGGGAGAAAAAACAAAAAACAAAAAACAAAAAAAAAAAGAAAGAAAAAAGGAAAAAAAAAAGAAAAAAACAAATGGGACGTTCACCAGGATTGCCATTCTTTTCACCTTTTGGACATTTTCAAGTTTTATGGGTTCATTTAAGATGAGACAGGACCATTCTGACATATTTACAATGAAGTACTTTTTGCATGTCACAGAATTACATTTGGGATTTTTCATTCCACATCCGCTAGAAAAGAAACTCAATCTTAATATAATGATTTCAGGTGTTAGAGAATTCAGTGTTTCCCTCTGCAATTTGTTTCACAAGGTACTTACTGCCACTGTTAAAAACATAAATTAATTTATAGTCTGAATTTGGCAAGTCTGACATTCCACTCATCAAGGCTTAGCACTTCACACTCCCTGAGCAGATGCTTGTAGACTTATGATCAAATAATAGCACAAATCTTTCTCCCTTAAATTAAATGAGACTTTAATCTTTTTCACCTGTTAATTTTTTTTGGGGGAAATAGGCTAGATTACTGTAAATCTTCCCCACCTCTTATTCTCTACCTCTGCACTATGATCTATAGATCTACGTTTGCAAATCTGAAAACCTTTTTTGAGACGTGGTGATTCTGAAGAACAAGGCTGACCTCTAGCAAAACTTCATCAAATATTATAATTCTGCTTGAAATAAGGGAAGTTACTCCATCCTCCAGCCCTCGCACAAGGAACAAGAGGACAAAGCTCTGGACGAGTTAAGAAGCATTTCACTTCAGAAATACAAGCTGTGAAGAAACTAAGGAATAAGTTCCTGCAATAACAGCACTCCCCTAAGAACTGCAGTGAGTGAGTTTGGGTTTGTTTCCTCATGCTGACTGCAACGTCAGGGGAAACTACGCTCCAGAAATACACCTGGGAATGAATCAAGGCTCTATTAACATTAATAATCTTTATTATAGAGAGAACAGGGAGAGAGCACACCATCTTCACAGATCTCCTGATCCCTCACACAGTAGGTGTCACTGCCACTGGGTTGTTAAGTACAAAACTGGTCTGACCAGCTTCAACCCCAATGGCTGCAACCTGTTTTGCCTGAGAATTTCACTCCTTGATCTAATCTCAGGTTTATTTACAGTCATATTTCAAATCAAAAGTAGAATCTGGTTTACTCTTGCTCTTCTGAAGACCTTGACGTTTTCTTCATTGTCACTGAACTGTTTGAAGAAATAAAAGTGAAATTTACTTTCGGATCGTGTTGATGCAAGTCTCCTGGCACCAGTGAAGTTGCATCCTTGTTAACATTCCACTTCAGTGTTTGGATTCTACTGTTTTGAGTAACGTCAATAAACAGGCCACAGAAATACTGCGGAAGTGAAGGACCAGCCCAGTCCTCACGTGGCTTCAACTGGCACAATCTGGGCAGTGCCACGGCAGCTAATTGCAAAGAAAATTGCAGCCTCAAACCTTCATTGCAAGGTTCACACTCAGTCTCGTGACAGCACACAGCACTTCATTGGCTCCAGAGGCTTGAGAACAGCGTGTAATCCCCCTTCATCACCTTTCCATATGAAAAACATTATTTTTAAGAACTGAGGAGATGAAGACAGAAACTTAAGTCATCATCTTCAAAAAATGTCCCGAGAGCATTTATTTCCAGTTGCCCAGTTCAGACCAGAATTTCAAGCATGGACCACATTGACTTCCAGCCAAATCAGGAGGGAAGTTCCCATATTCATCCCCTGGAAAAGTTACAGGCAATTTGCTCCCTGCTGGATCTTTACAAAGGAAACACCAGAAGGGAGCAGCCCCTTCTGAGAGGTTTGAGTCACAACCATGGGAAAATACCAGGTCTGGAGAGCTGGAAGCTCTGTGAAACGGGGACAGATGTCAGAGACGGGGTTTAGAGCATCAGCTCCCGTTTTCAAACTCTTAAGACCATACACTGATCCAATAAAGCCAAATTCAATTTCCTTTTAAAGATAAATAAAACAGTAATGAAGCCAGTAAAATGCTTATTATATAAAATATAGTAAGTTTATATTATATATATATAAATTTTTATATAAATTGTCTTAATTTTTATATATACAACAGTATATATAATAATATACTGCTACCGCTCAGTATATAAGTACTGTAAGTAAAAGCAGTGCTTATTCTGGAAAAGAAGTCCTTTCTCCGACTCTTTGTTACTATTTTACAACTTAGCAATGCAAAGTATTTGTCGAAGAGGTGAGGGAGGATTTATTTCCAGGCAGTCCTTCAGAAGACGATGCTGGTAGACAATTCCGTAAATAACCCGAGCTGTGCCCCGGGGTTCTGGGCACTGCAGGAGAGCTCACCTTTAGCAGCAGCTGGTACTTGGTGATTCTCTGCACCGGCTTTAAGAGATAAGCGTCTAAGGAGAGCTTATGGTCCAATTTACGCTGGCATTCCTGCAAAAGACAAGGGGGGAGAGAAATACAATTGTTTCTTGCAGCAGAGGCGAGACACCCAGATCCTTATCACCGGGCAATCCAAATGGTTTGGCCCCGGGAGCAGCTGGGGGAAAACTGTTTCTCTAAGTGGACTGAAGAGAGAAGAGGCAGAGAAGGAAAAGCAGCCAGCCTAGCGCTGCTGGTCTGGTCTGCAACAGCATCCCACCTGGAAAAAGATGCTGTCTCCACACTGTCTCCAGAGAGCTTCAGACCTTGGCTTGTTCTGACAGTATTTCTCATAAATCTGGAGGTCCTCCTTCTGCAAGAAACAGAGTTAAAGGGTAAGATAAATGAATCCACAGAGCATCTGCCTTGAGTCAGGCTTTTTCTTCCCTTCCATCCTAACACACGAAGTCTTTAATTCATGGTGATAACTCCATACGTAAAAAATATACTGAAACTACCAAAAGTGCTTTTTACTCCTGTGAAGTTAAACATGCCCGATAGTGAGATGCTTTTCCTCTCCCTTTTTGCACAAAGCAAGATTTCAGACGGGAAGACACATAATCTAGTTGCAAAACTCTTATCTCCCGGAGAGGGGAATAGGTGGTTTGAAAACAACAACAACAAAAAAGCATAAATGTAAATGTTGTTGAGGATACTGTCACAGACTGCTGACAATACCCACCATTTAGCCAAGGTTTACATATTCAAAACACTTTGAAAATAGCTTTGGGTCTCAATAGCACAAGGGTGAATTAGAGAGTAGCAGGTTTGTTCCCTTGAGGGGAAGGTTATACCCTGAGCCACCCAAATTAGACCTGGCTGGGTTCACTTGACCTCTATTGACCTGCGAGTAGTGGAATTCATGGTAAAAAAATTTCACCTTCAATGAAATCAGAGGCAATCTCTGTAAAAGCCCAGAGAGGGGCAATTTAAGCTCCCCAGACCATCCGGGTGGAATCAGGCAGACCTTCCTCCAGAAGGTCCTGGGTTCACTGGCCACACACCCGGCCGGCACGGGAGCCCCATGGGGCAGTGCCATGGGGTCCCTCAGTGGGGCTGGCCAGGTCTGACCACCTGGGACCTTCTCAGCTTCAGCTGCACCCATCCTGGTGGGCATGACCTCAGGGAATCCAAGGCAGGGCCAAAAATAAAGCTGAGGAGACCGTAGCTCTGGCCTCTGTGCTTGCAGCCCACCAGACAGTGCCCGAGCATTCTTGGGGCAGAGAAAGCCTTTTTTTGGACAGGGTTACTAGAAAAAATCCATATTGCTGCTGTGTTCCTGCATCACCCTGATGAGCCAGCTGTGAAAGCAGAGCTGTCGAGGTGACACCGAACTGCCCTGAGCATTGTGCAACACAAAAAGCTCCCTTTCGACTCAACAGAGCCTTAATGGTGCTGTTTCAAAATAAGCCCAGTGTTTTCTTCACACAAATAGATTGTTTGGACACGTTGCCTTGGAGGGAAGTTAGCAGGGGGCAAAGCCCACAACACTGAAGGCAATAACAAAGTCTAATCAAGCATCACAATTTGTTCCTGACCCACAGAAACCCAACGGGTCTGGGCAAGAGGAGCAGAGACAGCATCGGTCCAGAGCACTGTTAGGGGTGAGAGAGAAGTACCAGTTTATTCTACCTCTTCTTTAAATTTATTCAAAAATTGAGCAGCAGTTTGCCATAGGAAGGCACCCTAAATGGATGCCATCTGCTGCTGCCTGAGCCAGCGACACCCACTCAGGCAGATACTTACATCTTTTAAATACAGCTTTAAGTTGTAATAATGAAAGGAACGGGAAACTCCTGCTGAAATTACTGGGATCAGACACCAAAATGCCAAGAAATAATTAATTGCCTAGTACTCAAATCCCACTCTGAAGTGTCCCACACATCTGTTTTCATATCCAGAGGTTCTGACTGCTCCCTGGTGCTTTCACACCACGCTCACGTCTCCTGTCATGCTTCTCCTTTCCATGGTGATCTGCGCCCCGGGGTCTGTGTGAGCTCTCACACATGTGGCCTGTACACGCAGTCACAGTTACCTTTGTTGGCTGCTCATTCACAAACACTTTGTGCTTCAGATTAGAATTTAGCCTTTGGAATCCAACTCACAGGTTTCTGCTCAGCTGCTACACTCCTTCCACAGGTAGCCTCCTTTTCTAGACGCTTCCTTCTCCCAGGATGACCAAACGCCCCAACTACTGCCTGCTGTGAAGTTATTCTCTCTTTCCAAAGTTCACACCATGGATAAGTAAAGAGCAATAATCCACATGAGTCACTCCTGCCAGGCTCCTCACCTGGCACAGGTTGGGAAGCATCTGACACACCTTTCCTTTCCTCCTGGGTGTTCTTACCTTGGTTTGGTAACCTTTCCTTCTCCCCAGCCCCATGCTCAGCACATCAGCCCGAAGTGTCCCTCTCTGTGCCAGTAAATCAGGAGCAGCCCCATCCTGCCCACAGGCATTCAGCCCCTGGGCAGTCCCTCACACAGAGCTTTAAGCAAGGTCAGGCCCCTGGGGAAAGGTAAGAGCTGCCATTTGGGCAGAGCCGAGCTGATTTACTTGTAATTTAGTTCACATGAAGATCACGCCCTAACGAGGTCAGGTGAAGCTGGAGGAGAGGACAAGAGGGGTGTTTCTGGCTCCTCTTCCACCCATTTCTGCTGCCGTGCTCCAGGAGAGAAGCCAGAGAGGAGAAATGGGCTGGGCCTCCACAGGCTGTGTCTGCCATCCCCTGGGAAGAAGGGTTCCTGTCCATGGTGACAGCTGACTGGGTGGCACTGGTGGGATGGTGTGTGGGGACATTGCCCCATGGCAGACGATGGAGGGGCTCAGGGTGTCCCAGGGCAGCTCTCGGGACACTTTGGAGCAGCTCTGGATTGAGGGCTGAGAACCCCCAGTGGGGTCAGACACAGTGATATTCTTCAAGAAAGTATCTCAGAATCAGCCTGTTTCCAAGCAGAGCCCGGGGGATGTTGCGGCAGGATGGATACACCCAGGCAAGTGACATGAGCTCCCCCCAGAACTCAGCATCCCCTTGACCAGCAGCCATCCCAGTTTCCCCAGTACCAATAGAATCACAGAACCTTATGGGGTTGGAAGGGACCTCTGGAGATCCTCTAGTCCAACCCCTTGCCAGAGCAGGTCCCACAGGAACGTGTCCAGGTGGGTTTGAATGTCTCCAGAGAAGGAGACTCCACCACCTCCCTGGGCAGCCTCTGCCAGGGCTCTGCCACCCTCACAGGAAAGAGGTTCCTTCTCATCTTTAGGTGGAACTTCTTACATTCAAGTTTGTGCCCATTTCCTCTTGTCCTGTCACTGGGCACCACTGAAAAAAGACTGGCCCCATCCCCCTGACACCCTCCCTGTCAGTATTTATAAGCAGACCCCAGCAGGGCAGCAGCTCCCGGGACCAGCCAGAAGCCTCTGCTGGGCAGGAAGGTGTAAGAAGCTGCCAGATGGTGGGGAACACAAACACACAACCGGGCTTTTGTGCGGGCGGCCTCGAGGCAGGCCAACAGAAACAACCATTCCTGGGCTTCAGGCGGCTTCTTCTGAAAGCAGAGGGCGAGGGCAGGTTCCCCAGTCAAAGGTGTCTCTGTGTGAGCAGGGACAGCTCAGGGGGGGGGCTCTGCCTCCCCGCGCGAAATTTGAAACGGGGAGACAGCAAAGGCCTGATTGAACCTCTTATTCCACAGACCTGGTGCTGTTTGATTAGGCCATAAGGAACCCACAAACAAAGGTGAGAGAGGGGCTGGTTTTCCCTCACCCCCCACCCGCACCACGGCTCTAACGCTGCCGATCGCAGACTGACAGAGTGGAGGGGAATGGGGCTCCACGGCTGTTTTTACAAAGAGAGACATAAGCTACAATATTTAAACACAGAATTTGAACTTTCGGCAGAATTACACGGTAATTCTGTACGAAGAATTTCTCTTTAGCTCCAAATACAGGGATATCTGCAACATACAGGCTATTTTATACTTCTTGGATTTCAAAGGTCTGCATTCTTCAAAGACTGCTTACCCTGTTTTGCATAATGATTTCACCACAGCATTTTCCTGCTCACCATCTGAGTCTTAGGATAGCAACATATTCCTTAGTAGTGTCATTTACTCAAACTCCAAATGCTGACTCTTGAAGGGAAAATAATTCATCGGATTTATAACCCCTTTTATGATGCTTTTCAGCCCGACCTGATTGTAAATCAGGGCCCTACCCTTGGGAAGCATCACGTGTTGATAATTCCCATTGAAATCGTGGGGATGTGGCCCTGCCCAGCCCCTCTGGGTGATGTGGGTTTCCTCCCAATCTGTATTTCATACAGCACCTTGCCAGAAAACCAGAAGCTTTACCGTGCAGCCTGGTGACACGGGCAGTGCTGGCTGTCACACGGTGGGGACAGGAGGTACCTCTCTGCAGAAAAGAGAGATTTCCCCCTTTCTCACCCCTCTCCCACCTCCCACCCAAACACAGGGGCTCACTCAAGCAGCTTTGTCAGACTATGAAAAAGGGTAGCAACCCACCAAAACAGTATTTTTCTTATGAGCAGGGCCTCTGTCTGTGCCACATAGAGAGCACCTTTTGTTACGTTGGAGGAAACAGCGCTGACGTGCTCACTGGGAGAGGTGGTGGGGGCAGGACGTGACTGGGAGCTCTGGGAGGACAGAGCTGCAGAACCAGGCCACCAAAACCCATAGGAAGTGAAGCCACCACATTTGATTGCAGCCACCACGTCTGACTGAAGCCATCACATCTGACTGCAGCCACCACTGCTCGTGGCTTTGGGCTTTCCCATCAACTGAGCTCACCCCGCTCTCAAAGATCCAGCCTCCTGCTTTGGCTGGGGGGGAGAGCCCTGCCGGGGTGTGAATTGTGTGAACCAGCAAAGTCTGGATGGTCTGATGGAGCTGGGGGGGTCTCACCACCCAAGGAAGGTGGAAGACTCTGCTGGGAGAGAGTGGGTCCCCTGAGGGGCGCAGGGACAGGGGAGATGAGCTCTGGCAGGAGCAGGATGTGGTGTCTGCACCCCGAGCCCAGGCTGGGACACTGCTCCCATTTCCAGCGGGTGGTGCCTGGGACACAGCCCTCTGTGAGAGACATTTCCCTGACAGGAAAAGCACATTTAACATTTGGATTGATTTTTTTTTGGGAACAGCTGCTGATGGGAGCTCCCGTCCCTCTCAAAAGCCATCAGAGCCAGAGGGGAGGAGTGAACCTGTACCTACTGTAGGGTAAGACCACGGATATTCATACAAACCTGCAAAAGGATTTACTTACTCTTTTCAAAAAGCATCGGGCAAGAAGCTCAGGGTTTTCAATGCAGTTTTCGATCTCCTTAAGGAAAATCCTGAAAGGGAGAAAGGAAAGCCAAGAGTAATGTCACATCCCACTCCCGCGGAGTGCGAGCTCCTCTGGAAACCCAGCTGAAGCCTGCCTTTTGCAGTGAGAGGATTCTGTGGGGAAGGTAACAATTCTGACACAAAGAGATATAAACTATATATATTTAGAAAGATGGGATAACCACAGCTGATTGCCCGAATCACCAACATGGTCACGTCTTCATCTGCTCCCAAGCAGCTGATACACCTGGCTCCTCTGCTCCTGGGGTTTGATTCCGACGTTTAGCCCAAATGCCTGCTTCCCCTTTTGGTTATAAGGATTTTTCAGAACCGCCAGAAAAGACAGAAAAGCTCTGTCGGATGCAGCTGCTTCATCAGCAAAGAGTGAAAATAGGAGATGTGCCCCAAAGGCTTCTGCAGTGACAGCCAATGCACGCCGTCCTTAGGGACAGAAAGACTTGGCTTGCAAAGGGAGGGGAATGGCATTCTCCAAACAACACATAAACTGGAAAGGAATCTTTCTACTCTATATCAACTACTCTGGCACAATATTTAAACTTGCAAAAAAGAGATTTTTTTAATTTATTTTGTTCAACTGATTGTTACAACTTAGGGGCAATTATTATCCAAAAGAATTCCTGAATTCTCACTGACAACAGCCAGTTTTACTTAGTCAAGGCTGGGAAATGCAGGACGTTTACAGATGTGGCCCTAGGCTTTGTGAGGATCCAACAGAGGTTAATCCTGTTCCTAACTGGCTTTCTGAAGTTCTGGACTCTAGATCTCTCTGTCCACAGTGTGGACAAGGCTTCTGGAAAGCTTTATGATTATGTGAAGGGTAAAATTCCTGAAGAAAATTGCTCTCAAATACAGCATGTGATAACAGAAATATAGGACAAATAAGATGAACACTAAGAAAACTCCCTCAGAGAGTGTTTTGCCAGAGAAGAAACATCAGGACTCAGTCCTGTGACATCTACCCATGTGCCAAGGGAGGCGGCAAAATTCTCGCCACCAGGGATGTTCAAAATGGGTAACACCAGGGGAAATCCCTGGTAAAGGCACTGAAGGCTATAATCTTTCACAAACAAAAAAAGATGAAACAGAGGATCTCAGAGCTGTTCCCACCTGTTGTGGAATTCATAGATCTCTGGGAGGTTCCCAAAAAGAATGTCCTTCTTGTTCTGGAGGGCAGCTGGGATCAGATGTACCAAACTGGGATTGTCCATTTCCGAGGCGTATCCCTGCGAAGGAGAGACAAAAATAAGGCCAGGCTGTTTGTCCCAGGGCAGCAGTCCTGGGTCTGAGGCACTGTGGAGCCCCAAAGCCATGTCCCCTTTGTTCTCCACAGAGCTGCTCCTGTGCCAGCTGCTTTGTTGCTCCCAGGAATTTCTGATGCTTCTAATTTTCCCCAAAGCTTTTATCCCAATAATTCTGCCAACATATTTTTAACCACAAACAGACAGATAACGGGATTAACAAACATGATGAAATGACGTCCCCAGGACTCAAAGGCCATTTTGGTTGTGTCAGGATGGAAACTGCTACGTTTAATAGAAACACATCTTTCTGCTGCGCTGCCAAAGGGTTAGCTGGGATTTATTTGTTGCACCATGCTGTTTTGGCTTGATTATTTGTTTCTTGTAGAAACTGGATTGTGTTTCTTCAACAAAAACTTTGGGAAAAACACTCTGAGCACAGATTTTAAACTCAGGAGTAATATTTCACTGACCAGAGCTGTCAGCTCCCACAGACGGAATCCAATGAAGAAGTGACCACATGGTTGTAAAAAGAAACTGCCCAAATCCCGGGGGGACTGAGCCCAACGCGGAGCCCCCTCCCCGGGAGCAGAGACCTCAGAGGGCACATCACAGGGTGTGCTGGTACCCTCGGAGTTTCAAAAGCTCCAGAGTTATATTTCAGTGCAAGCTGCTCTTCTCCAGGCTCAGACACTACACGGGACAATAAAGGAGAGGGGGGAGACAGCCTTCTTTTTTCTCAATCATTTTCCCAAACCACATTCACAGAAATTTCATGTCTGGCCCCGTGGAAAGCAAGGGTGCTGTTTCTGAAGCCTGTTGATGGTATTTTGAACAGGCACATTATTAACTGTTCCTCTGCCCCAGACTCAGAGAACCGTGCAACTTTTATCAGTCTGTGGGCTGGGGCCAGAAAAGGTGCTGCTTCCTTTAAGCCCCGAAAGATGCTCAAAATCCCCCTCTGGTTTCCTGTGGCCGGGGCTGAGCCCTCTCCAGGGCAGCAAAGCTCAGCCCAGGAGGGACGTGCAGCCCCAGGGTGACCCCGGGGGAAAGCACCACCAGTCCCCAGGGAAGAATCTCTTACCTCTATTATACTTTGAAGTTCTTCTACGTAAACCCGTTCTGTCTCTATCAGCTCATTGATGATGTGGCTAAAGAAAGAAGACAGGTGGAAAGTTATGAGCGTTTGCCAACAGGTCAAAAAAGCAGACATGAAAGAAAAAATGGGTTTCCTTGTATGTTCCTGTTTATGCCTCTGACTACACAAAAACCCCCTCCTGTGACATCTCCGAAGGTCATTTCTCCCTACTTCAATATTGCGCCTTGTTGATAAGCTTAAAAGTCTCAAACATCCCTTGGACTATTATTTTTTCAACTCATTTTCATCTTCATCTTGGTTGCTTCTGCTCTTTTTATATCTACAAATCTGAATAAAAAAAATTAAAAATGCCCCAGAAGGCAAACAAAAAAGGTTTCCTCTTCTAACAATAATTAACAATACTCAATAAAAGGGGATTATATTTCACAAGGCTGTGTTACATTGCTGGTTTGCTTTCCTTTATAAAATAAACAAAAATGGTGGTTAGGCTTCCTTTACTACGTTGTGAAAACAGGCAACAGGATGATGTCAGAAGTCTGAAAACATGAAAGTAAGTTAGAGCGAAATATTTATACTGTATTTTTGACTTTTCATTTCTAATATTAGTTCAATGCTTCTAGGTAACTCGGAGATATATATGCCTGACATGTGCCTTCATATATGCCTTGGAGACGCCTGATTTATTTCACAGAAATATGAATGTGACCGATTCACTTTTGGACAAATAACTAATTAGACTTTTCAATAAAATTGCATTAAATCCCTCAACTTCTTTTATGCATCAGTTGTCCCATATTGTCAAGACAAGAATTCTCTTTAATATTCTTCTGACCCGAGATGGCTCTTGCAGAGCTTTGGGCAGGTTGCCCGAGCAGGACGGACTGATGCTGGGTGCCCCTCTCCTGGTGCTCTCCTCTCAGGAGGCTGTAGCCACACGGTTACACCACGCACAACCCCACCAGCTGTGGGACCAGAGGACACAGACACAAACCTGCTCCTCTGCTGCCCCGAGCCAGAAGCCAGAAGGATCTCAAGGCTGCTTTCTAGAGGAAGATACCAACACAGGAAAGTGACTTCGATCCCTGCTCCTGGGGAGCCTGCTCTGTGCCTGGTTCCTGGCTCTTGTGTAGAACTCAGGAGTCGTGTCCCAGCCAGAGCCCTTCAGTAGCCATTTATATCATGAGCCACACTTACTTACCCTGCTGGGGGGGGATTCTGGCACCCTCTGCAATTTTTAGGATGTCCTTTTTGAGATTAATAAATCAATCTCACTTCTGATAAAGCCTCCTTTAAATGGCATGGCCAGGCATTTGGAAATAAAATACATTTCAGGCCAGTGCAAAAGCCCTGACTGAGATCTCACTCGGCTACTGAAATGGGTTCATGGATTTGCTTCAGATTTACCAGGTCTATTCCAAGGCCATCTGCTTCTGCTGGCCGGGTGGGGACCACTCACTCTGCTCTCACAGACCTTCACTGGTTCATGGAGACTGCTTGAGAAACACTGTAAATACTGAGAAAACCAGACCCTACCTTCAACTGACCCATGATGTTTCAAAAATTGTTATAAAATAAGTAGGATTTCACAGTATCTTGCCTCAATGCCTCTGCTTCTGCTGGCCGGGTGGGGACCACTCACTCTGCTCTCACAGACCTTCACTGGTTCATGGAGACTGCTTGAGAAACACTATAAATACTGAGAAAAGCAGACCCTACCTTCAACTGACTCATGATGTTTCAAAATTTGTTATAAAATAAGTAGGATTTCATGAGTATCTTGCCTCAACGTCTTTAAGTGGAGAGAGAAGTGCCGAGCGTGTTCCAGAGGCAGGGAACGAGTGAGGGCTGTTCCCGGCTGGCTCGGGCTCCATCAGTAACCCCCCCTGATCTCACCCCCAGATAGTCACGCACGGCAGAGCTGCATCTAGCAACAGGGACAAAATTACACCCCCCTTGGTGAGCAGGCGTTGCTATTGACCAAACAGCGTGCAAAGGGACTGCACCTCTCCTATGGAGACAGGCTGAGAGAGCTGGGGCTTCAGCCTGGAGAAGAGAAGGCTCCGGGGAGACCTTCAAGCCCCTTCCAATTCCCTCAAGGGGCTCCAGGAGAGATGGGGAGGGACTCTGGATCAGGGAGGGGAGCCCTAGGAGGAGGGGGAAGGGTTTGACACTGAAAGAGGGGAGATGGAGCTGAGCTGTGGGGAAGAACTTCTTTGCTGTGAGGGTGGTGAAGGTCTCAGGATGCCATGGAGCCCAGGAAATCCCTGAGACCTTCTCTGTAGGTATCCTTCTTGCCAGGAAACTTTCATCCCCCCGGAGCTCCTCCCCGAAGACACAAAGAGAGTCGCCAGATTGGAAGAGTTCCAAAGGTGGAATATCCTGGTGCCAGCAACACCTGACCCGTTATCTCTCCTGGTGTGGAAACAGTGAGGAGGAACTCTGCTCAGGAGAGCAGGGCCACCACTAACCTGGCACAGCTCTGGGTGGCAGGACCATCGCTGGTCTCGGCAGAAGGGGATGTGGTTGTGGCCGGGAGAGGTCACACATGGGCTCACTGCTGTGATGGTGTTAGATGTTCCTCCAGCAAAGGAAACTTCTTGTCACAGCAAACAACCAAAATGCACAAACTAGCTCACACTTCTGTGAATTACTGATCTGGGTTTTCTAAGGAAACATTGTGGCCTTGGTGACACTGAGACCACGTTTCCCACAGGCGGGATTTCACAGCAGTTTCCTTGGGGAAGATTGTTCCTGCTCTGGCAGCCGTGAGCCCCGTGTCCCCCCAGCGCTGCCGGGGTCTCACACGGGGCCAGGTCCCACCGGGAAGCTCCACACAACAAGGACGATAAGAAAGGAGAAGTGATAGGAAAACTATTCCTACTTTGTCAATTGGAATTGCAGCCATAAAATAGAATTAAACCCGTGAGGTTTTCCCAAAGCAACCTCAACCCATAAATCATCACCAAAACTCCATCCCCAAAACTGTTATCTTGCAGGAAAGCTGTGTGTGACCAAGGTGGGGCCAGCAAAGCAGAGCTCGTGCAAGGGTACTCCCCCCTCACCTGCCTTCCAAAAACCCACAGAGCCTGGAAAATGAACATTTAATATTTGCAACAGCTGAAACAGCAGAATAGCAGTGTGCAAGAGCAAAACGCTCCGTGGGATTTATTTCATTAATTAAAATAAAATAAACATCATTTTCATAAAAGCATCTCATTTAGATAGAGATCTACTTAAACTGAAAATACTGGCTTTTTAAATACCTGAGACTTCAAAAGCAAGAGAAAGGACTGAAGGGAACTGTGTGCAGTGCAGCAGACACATACACTTGGAATAAATACAAATATTGGATAAAGTTGGACATAAGAAAAGGGAGACTGAAAAATTTTGTTGCTGGCAAAAATGAGGACAGTGGTAAAGACCTTCCTGGCCCAGCTCTCTGGCTACTCCTAAGTCTTGTCAGAGTTCTACTTCTGAATTCAAATAAAAGATAACAAAACTGTATTTTTTTGCAGTGATATCTCCTTTATGGGTAGTAAAAGGTGAAAAATCTCACTGTCCAGTGGAAACAGACTCAGCAATAAATAGGGCACCCAGTTCTGAATTAGAAACCGCTACCAGAAACTCTGAGTGGTCTAATCTTAAAATCTCAAAAATGATCTCTGTGCTACAGAATGAAAAGAAATGACAGCACCTCAGCTGCTGCAGGGTGGAAACTTCCATTCCACCTACATAACTGCTTTTAAGAGGAATTTTGTTTCATTTCTCACAGTGCTTAGAAGTGCCTTTCCCAGCTGAAAAGTGTTCTCAGCTGAGATTAGGCAACAGCTCGAGCGAGATTTCAGCAATGAGTCAGTTGCTGCACTTTACCTCTAAAGTGGAAGAAAAGATCATTCTGTACGTAAGAACATTTGTTTGAATGGAACTTTATATTTGTTAGTTGATACAGAAAAGGTTTCTGATTTCTCTGACACGTACTCCTTTTATTTTTTCCCCAAATGAAGGAGAGCAGTGCCTTGAACGAGCACGGATTGTTCTTCCAGCACATTTCACGGCTGCAAATGAACCCCCAGGGACTGACCACGGGAGGCAGAGGGGATTTAGATAATACGCTCCATCTCACCTAAAAACGAGTGCCCCTCAGTGAAGATGCTGTCACTGCCCACCTGGGCGATCCTGCGCTGCCACAACGTCAAACGGACTCACTCGAGTTACTCTGGAAGTTCTTCAGAGCATAAGGACGGGGTCTTTGTTAGAAATACATTTCACCACCGAAGTCACCATTTATAATAATATCTTGCTGCTTCTGAAATGATCTGATCTCTCCACATCTAAAGAATTGTCCCACATTCACTGTTCCCAAAACAAATTACCTCGGGGAAATATTTTTATATATCTTAATTAGTCGCCCTACATTATAGGAACCAGAACACAGTTGTTACTGGAGAGGGAAATTAATTAAATCACCTACCGAGAGGAATAATATGACCAAAGGACTGAAAGTCAAGCAGGAGCCATTTCTCCCCCCAGGCTGTGCACCCCCCGGGGGGGATGCAGCTCCGGACACAAACCTGAGCTGGCTCCAGAGGACGTGGATGCTGCGAGGGTCCTTACTGCAGGGCCAAGAGCTGAGCAAGGAGTTTTGAGCTCCCCACACCTCTGAGCCCCCCACAACATTGTGCTTCTGGTCTTTTAACCCTGCGGCTGCACCCCCCCTCTTTGATAATGAAGATACATTTAGCCCTGCGATATCTCGGCAGTGAGTAATCAATTAGCTAGAAGCGGGTGAATAATTTCTAGATCAAATTTACGAGTGATGTAACTGCCAAGTGGCGTTATATTAGGCCGTATTTTAGTGGATTAGCTGCTGGTAGGTTGTTATCCGTGCAAGGTACCAGACACACACAGCAGTGTGCAATACCTGTGTGCGAGCGGGACGTCGCGGGCACGAGAGGCTGCTCACACACCGGGGAAATCCACGGGATCCCTCGGCGTCGTTGGGTGCTTGGGATTACGGGTGTTTACATGGAGGCCACAGAGTTAACATAATGA